AGTGTAGTCCGGAACTTCATGGTCTTTTTATGAAGGATGAGGACAATTTTCTCAGCTATTTTGCGCAGGATGAAGAGATCTTTAAACCATACCTGAATGATCACGATTCATTCTTTTAGGCTGTAGAAACTACAAAAAAAAGTTCCAATTCCCACCTAACTCCTGAAATCTTTCTCAAAAAGATTTCTCGCCGAGACAAAGTCCAGGAAAAAAAAATTGATGAGAAAAGCGAAGGAATTTTGCTTTCTGCGCATGCCTGAAATTTGCAAGGTAATGCCTTGCATTAAATACTTTGCTGGAGAAAGGACGCGAAGTGCATGACCTGCGATGGGTTTTGTGGTAAGTTTTCGATATTTAAACCAGAAAATGGCTTTACTGAAACGCGATCTTCGGCGATATTCCGAGGGGCGAGTGGGTTAAGCAAGAAGAATGTGTATCTTGATCTTATGTTTAACTCCGGCTCTGACTAGGATTTGAATAATGAAAAACGCGAAGGTTTTGTCGCCTATAGACTGATTTGGAGCCACAAACATGACCCTGTGATAGAAAGAAAAAAGGTTTTTCTCTAATCATACAACATCACTGCCCCAGGATCCGGTAAGTTAACTGCATTAGAAGACCTGCAAGGAACACTGCATGCATTTTATAACAAAATGGTGCAAAGGGGTGACTGAGAAAATGTAATACAAATGATCATATAGGCTGTGGAAATTAAAACACAATGATACCATATGTGTCTTACGGTAGGAGTTTTTATTATTATTGTTTATTGATGAGATTATTATTAAAATAGGGCTAAGACGACATTTCCATAGCTTTTGAATCTATTGATGTTTTGAAAATTCACCACCGTTATCCCTTCGCAGGCAGGTGAATTAAAAGTACTATTAATAGAATCTTACAGAATCTTCTGCTTCTTCTTCTTCTTCTTGTTATTTTTATTATTAGGCACAGCTTCTGGATGGCTTTCTGGAGTCTAGTTCCTCAAACATCAAGGCACTTTCCATGACCTTAATTAGTTGCCTTGACCGTGTAAAGGATTCTGACTGTGCCCAGTAAGCATGCTCTTTACAGTTATTATTGTTATTATTATTATTATTATTATCTTTTTCTTCTTTCGCAGCTTGTACTGTCCAGGGCTCCGAGAGGCAACCAGTTCCTTGAGAGGGGGGTGGGGGGTGGAAGCTAGTCATTATTTAACTGGTACAGAACACTTTAGTAAAATTTATCTTTTTGGTTTCTGGTTCCAATTTTTGCACGTATATGTTACATATCAGAATTATAATGTTCAATTTTTTTAAACCTATTTTGATTCTCAATTTCTTCTGTCTCCTAGCCCTAATTCATAAATAATTAGGGCTAGGGAACAAAGGAAATAGGGAATAAACCTAGGTCTAAAAAAATTTAACCTCAATAACATTTTGACCTGTAATTCAATGTATATCATATATAAACTGAAATGTGTGAATTGTGGAGGAGACGGATAGTTGGCCTGCACTTAATGGAAGACCACCAGTACAAATAATGTCCTGAGCCTCACCCACATTATGATTTGGGAAAAGGATAAATTTTCATTATTGGGATGGGTGTATGATATTCAAGGGGAGAGGTACATGTACTGGAAAAGAGACAGTCTCCAGAGTTTTAGATCTTTAGAGGATACCATCTCTGGAAATGGAAGTCGCAGTGGTAGAAATATCTGACAAACGTGTGATACAATTCAAGACGAAATGAAAACTGCTGAGCAGTTTTACTGACTCTTGAGTCTACACCAAGGAAAAACTCTTCAATTTATGAGCTGAGGAAGTTGCACTTGATAAGTTCTGTTAGATTTTCTGCAAAAGCATCGAAAGAACACAAATGCAAAATCTTATTTAGGAAGCTGCAAAGTGTTTAAAATTTTGCTGCCCGCATAAACACTAAGAAATACGATCGTGTAACTTCAGTGCTTATATGAACATAAGGTCGCTACCAGTAAAAACAATTTTTATACATTCAGAGATGCCGTTATGGCTTTTAAGTGTATGACAGACATGCATGGCCCCAGAATATATAGTTAGTTAAATAGATTTATTTTTAGAGGCAACGTAAGTGGGCAGGTGAGTAGAAGTTCGCAGAACTTGAATATTCCATTATTTAAAACTAAAACAGGACAGAGGTCTTTTTCTTATAGAATCGTTAATATCTGAAATAATTTACCATCTGAAATTAAGCTTGGCAAAAGCAAACTTTAAGAAAACATCTATTAGATAAAGACTTTCTATGATGAGTGATGATGAGTTACGATAGGTTATGATGAGTTATCCTGTTGCCACTTGTGTTAGTTTTTAATTACCTAAATTGATTATCATCTTTAATATTTATTAATATACTGTATAGTTTTTAACTTTTATCTGTTAATTATTGTCACTAAAAAATCCCTATGGGGAGATGTCAATAAAGTATGTATTGTATTGTAAAACATGTCAGAGTTACACTTTTTTTTTCCGCTGGCTTCACTTTGTTGGGAGAAAGATAAATTCATAAAGTAAAATAAATATGTTTAAAAGGATTGTTAAAAATTTTTTCCCATTATAGGGGTATAGAAGGTTACGTAGGGTACAGATTCTCAAACTGAGCTAGTTGATTATGACCGTAAAAATAAGACAAAGCAGCATCTTAATTATACAAATGTATGGGCTTTCGCTAGCTTCCATTGGCATTTTTGGTCTTTTTATTTAGCTTTATTTTTACCATAATGATTACATCTCAAAATGTTTGGCGCACAGAGTCTCGGGCTCAGAGTTGCGAAAAACACTTTAATCTCGGTCTTGAATTTTGAAACACTCGGGGCGGGAGACAACAACAACAACAACAAGTTTATTCAGTATTACCATTTTGTTCAGGTGTTACCGATTAAAATAACAATAATAAACAGCTAAATTTAAGGAAATGAAGAGATGATGGAACGGTAGACATTCTCTTGCTCCCGTTGTTTTCCTATTGTGTCAACGGGAGCATAAGACTGTCTCCCACTACGAGTGTGAGTAATTTGAGTCTCAGGCCGTGTCGTTATCTTCCAACGGTAACGCGGAGTTCAGGCCGAGTCTCAGTCGATGGCTTCAGACGGGAAAGGTTGCAGAGATTTGCGACCTTTGATTCGCTCTCGGTGCAAAGCAGTCTTGAAGCAAGATAAGGAATGGAAAGAAGAACTATTGTGTGTTGCCTAGGCGGAATTGGGGGCGATTGGAGCAGTTGGAGCGAATTTCCGGCCGTTTTCCTTCGGTGGATCAGTTGAGCCGCTTCGCTGGAGTGCCCAACCTTGGTAACATGAAGTGATAGTTTATTGGTCTTCAGCCAATCACAAAGATTTCAAGTTCAGTGTTAACTTTGTCAAGTTCGCGACTAAGTTTTTATTAGCATACAACACGCTAGTGTCATCGGCAAACAAATAAAAGTTGAACACACTATTGTCTTGTGGATGTCATAAACATACAGGAGGAATAAAAGTGGTCCAAGTACTGAACCCTGGGAGAACCCACAGAGTGTTAGTTCTTGGTCTCATATAGTGTCATTATCAAGTGTTGTTTGGACCTATGTTGGTAAAATGCAGATTAGACGCTTTCATATTCTGAAAATTAAGGGTTTTAGGGATTATGCACCACGCTTACCAGTCAATATACCTAGACGTCTTTTTCGGTAACGGTAGTTAACAAAAAACATAATGAAAACACATTTTTCTGCCTTTGATTATGATTGCTTTTGTGCAAAATTTATATTCAATGGTATAGTTTGATTCATAAAAGGCACGAGCACCATTAAAATCAAACCCATGTTTAGTTTTTCCTTTGTAATTTGAAACTTCCACGACAAGAAAAAGTTTGTAAAATGAGCAAGAACCCTATGTGGAAAAATGGAACTAAAATGAACTCAAGAAGTTTTAGTAATGCATACCTACGGGTAAGAATTCTTTTCCAAGACTATTAATGTGATCGAATTAATCGATTATAATTTTCTCTTTTTGTTTTAAAATCAGTTAAGTATAAATTTCTGAATTTTCATAGGTTGAAGATTATTCGTTTTGTTCTTTTTGGTTTTAAGCAATTCAAAGTATACGAATGGACGCTTCTCTTTTACCTTTGGCTATAAATCTATATTTTATTTATACACATCCTTGAGGACTAAATATTGAGTTACGGTAATTAAAAGCAATAATTATTATATACATGATAGAGACGCCGAAGCGTATTCTCGTCCCAGAGCCCGTCGTTGCTGGCTTTTGATCAGATGGTCAAATAAAGCCGAGGGGCTCTGGGGACAAGTATGGACGAGTTCGTGAAGTCGTTCTTGAATCGGTCCCCATAGTTTTGGATTCCTCAGGTTTTGAAAGCCATGTTATCCTTCTTGTCCTGTATAGGAACCTATTATCTTAAAACCGGCATAAATTACAAAGGAAAATCATAGTTATTAGATGAGACTGGTTATGAAAAGCGGCAAACATCAATGATAAAAACAACAGTGCTGCAGTTTATGTTCAAAGCACCGTGAAAGTGCACAATTCCTTGTTTTCTGTTGGCAAATTGTTACGGAATAAATTAATGCAACGTTTTTATTGGTCAATACAATCAAAATGATAGGAATTCTTTTGAACGTTGTGCACTTTCAGGTCCACAAAAACATATAACAAAGGAGTCTGACGGGTTTCATAACCATTCCACTCAATTAACGATGGGAAAATATATAATTGGTGCAAACCATGTCAAGACTTTTATCTCGGTAACTATTACATCGTTCGAATAAATTTAGTCTTAACTTAATGTGAAACTAACCAAACTATCGCCCTTTTTGCAATAATAAAGCAGATAAAAATAGCTATTTTGGTCTCAGAAGATAGACCGAGGATTAGCTTTCCTGTGTTTGTCTGCATAGCAGTTGTCTTACTACCTTTAAAACTGCAGTTCGAAGTTCACGTAAACGCCAGCAATACAAAATTGGATTAATTGATGAGTTCATATACACCACAGTATATGTCAAATCCCACTCCTGTCTCTGAAATCTGCGGTTGATGGTTACAACTAACAGTTTTATAATCAATGGAAAATAACTCAAAATCATACAGACGTAATAAATAGAAGTGTTTATAGCACTTCTCTGTGATCGCAGTAAGTTCAGGTTATGATCAACACCAACAGTTTGTACTGCTTGCTGTTGTATATGAATCAGAAGCTGATGTCTTCGAACAATTTGATAAATTCTGATGTAAACAAAAGTAGAAACCTTGATACAAATGGCAATCCCGGGAACGAAGGTTAGTCTCGCATAGGTCATGTTCCATACATAAAGACATGATGCAAGGATCATCAAGAACCCAAGACTTAACGATTTGTACATTGCGCGTTTATCCGTCATCATATTCGGGTATCGCATGTGATAATGCAGAGCCAAAAACCTGTCCACACTTATCGCTGTCACTGTACACAAAGAAACGCCGCAGCTTAAAGAAGAGAAGGCGTCGAATGCATCTGTTAATCTCAGTCCAGGGTTCAGTTGATGTGCGATGTAAAATGGTTGTACAACCATACCAACAAGAAGATCTGAGACAGCGAGACTGCATAAGAAAACTGTGGACGGTGAAAGAAGAGAAGAGGTTCTTAATATGGCGACCAACGCGAAAACATTGCCAGTGATTGATGGGAGCATTAGCAGGACATTCAGCAGACAGTTAACCACAATAAAACACTCCATCCTCTTTCAGATTTTCGACTCGATTTGTAACTAGTAGACTTTAATAGTTTCTTGAGGTTTGACTGTGATTAGTTGCATTTATGACAACACGAAAAGTGGGTGACTAAAAGTCAATATCAATAACTTAAGGTGTTCCTTGCGCTTTGTTGTTTGATCCCTTGACAGCTTGTGTTATTTAACTCTAGGGAAGTTTTAAGAAGATCGCACAAGGACGATCAGGATTAAATATTTCTAGAGGAATAGGTCTTTTCTTTTCCTTTGAACGCGCTCAGTAAGATAACGAGAAATACTCAACAAATCTACCTTATTTCTACGTACATTGTTGACAGTCGTGTTTGTTGGAGCGTTTTTGAAAGTCCCCTGCGTATCTTTTAATTACATTTCAGAGAAATAATCTAAAATAATTATATTAATTTAACCTGGTGATTTTTTTTTTATTGGTCTTCACTTATTAAAAAAGAACAGCTGCTATGACTGAAATTTGAAATGCGTTATTGATCAGTCTTGTTCGGTCAAGATGGGTGGAAATTGACCTTTCATTCTTAATTTTTTTTTAACTGAGACAAAATCAATACCCAGCAATCTTGATCGGAAAGCGGTAAATCCCGAGTGCGGGCTAGATGCCCCCTCAGGAAGCCAATCAGAACACACCATTAACTTCATCTTACCGGCTAGCTGGCTTGGCTACAATCCCTCTAAACTTTGTAAAATCTGAGTCAGAATATAATTGCAAAGAGTAACATTGCAAATTGATATTTCTGTATTCACTTCATCGTTAGGAGAAGTTATATATAAAAACCCATGAAATACCAGGTGAGCTTTTGCACGAAGACATGACACGTTTACACGTTAAAATAACAGTTATCAATAAATCGCTCCCTTCGCTGCAAAAAATTTTAAGTGAAATGGTTTGGTATTTCATTGGTTTTCATACGATAAATAGCACACTACATGCCGCTTGGGTATCGACCCAAGGGAAAAGTGTAATATTTTTTTATTTATTTGTATTTTGTATTTTATTTGCCACACAGATAAATTTACATGATAACAAAAAATGTAGAAAATAATGGCGAGGAGGCCAAAAGAAACTTAATAGCTTATGTTAAGTCAGTTAGGCCTCCCTAATTACAATTTTTCAAAGATGAGATGAGAATTTCGGCGAAGGAAATTAAAGAAACAGTATATTATGGAAGATTACAAATGTTGAATAATATTAAACACCTTTTTCCCAGATTTTTTAGAATATACTAATAATTATATTCTCTATTTATTCTCACGCAATCCTTAGCAAAACTATCGCACGTGTTACAGCGATAAAGCCGGATACGGCAAACCAACTAAACAGATAAATGCTGTAATTTATATCTACGAAGAAAAAAAATTAGTTTTCCTCGGCTTGCTTGGATAAAAGCTGTTTACGCACACGCCAGCAATACAATATACTTGACATATATTGTCCAATTCCAATACAGAAAACTATATTGGAGGGTGAACGAAGAGAAGGCGTTTTTATCATTGCGGCCAACACAAAAACGTTACCTATGACTGTGAGGGAAATAAGCAAAGCATTAAGCAGAGTTACCATAAACTTGTCCATCGTACTGACGAATTTTCTGTCAAACCGGAAAAACGGATTCCGAAATCTATCTTTCTTTCTTTCTTTCTTACGCTCAGTAGTACATGAACTCGATGTATTACAAAACCAGGGTGGCGAAAACCAAAATTGATTAAGCAACGCATTGGCATTTATTTTTTACATCAATATATAAAATGTTTTATGAGTTTTTACCCCTTAGGGAGCAGATGAATTCAAACCCAGGATAAATATCAAGTTACCGCCGGGAGGATTTGATTATTTCGAATAATCATGTGCATGTTGGCTGGAAATAAACAAGGACAACCTCTCCAAGATCTTTCGTTTGTTACAAACTCATGTAAATGTAGTGATCCACGTTCAAGCGCTAAATCAACCAATCAATCAATCAACCAACAAAATAATCAATAAAAGACTTCATTTAACTTCGAATTTGTTGACAGCAAAATTGTTAATATCTCCGAAGAAAATAAGTCTATAAAATAATTAAAATACATCAATAGGTGAAATAAATAGATAGTACATTAAAATTAAATAAGATAAAAATTAAATATTATAGATAAAAATATACATGTACGTACAGGTAATTTCAAAATTTAACATTGGTCACAAGAAGAACAGCATTCATTATCCAGCTGAACAATTTTTTGGTGCAATTAACTTTAAACTAATTATAACTTCGTTAAATATTTACACTTTCATTAATTTGGGCCTCAGAAAGCAGGCGAAGGACCTGTGAGGTGCTCCTTTTATAAGCCACATAGGTTAATTTTAAAAATTCTAATTCGTTCTGAAAAGACCGGAGGAAGAACCTCTTCAGGTGGATCAGTTCTACGAATGAATGTTATTTATCTATTATTTATTCATAAGACTTATGTTACAAATATGAGCCTGTCAATTTCGTGATCAGCAGAACCAGTTTGCCAAAGAAATTAAGACTTACGAACTTATTTAAAAAAGTTCATTTTGTTTAAAACGGAGAATTTTTTTTCGAAGAAGTTCTAGTAGTCAACATAATGAAAACTTCAAGGTTATGGGTACTTTAAAACTTATCAAGCCAAACTTAAAGGTTTGCTCAATTTAGTTCAACAGTCTAATCAAGGACTAAAAGTCACTTTCAAGAAGGGGTCCGTAGGTGTCGTTATGATCTAGAGATTCTCTTGACTATTAAAATTTGCCGCGTTCTGAAATATATAATTTACAGACAATTAATGGCAGTTTTAGCCGTTTTTCTTCCCATTGGGAACATTTATTTTTTTTCACGTATTGCGATAGTAACGTTGACTTCTCTTCGAACGTTTCCTTCTCCTTCTTTCCTTCTTCTGTAATTTCTTCATCTGATTTCCTTACAGTATTTTCTGATACGTCCCTAAGCGATACCGGTACGCCGGAGTCTTTCACATACCCTCCCACTGGTAAAAACACGTGCACGATGTCAGAGGATGCGTCTTCGGAACCGAAGGGATTATTCCGGCCGTGTAAAATGTCAAACTGTTTTGATCAATTTCCCGTATAGTAGTTCCGACACTGATATACCGTTTGATCAACATTTGTCCACCCGAATGGAACCTCTCGTTCTAGTATACTCCTCCATTCAGCAATCCTATCGCCACCGAGTGGGATTGTTGAATCGATTTTCAATCAATGCAGCAAAACCAGCTTTCTTTTGCGTGCTCCTTTTCGCTTGTTCAACAGAGATGTTAAACAAGATTACGGTATAAGCGACAATGTTTGTTTAACTTGTTAAAAAGCGCTGTAAGCATGTTGCAAGCCTGTAGAAACAAATTTAATTGGTGTAATACGCTCAACGTTTGTTGAGCGTACTGTTCATGTGACTTTTTGGAAAATGCCAGCCTGGGCAAATGACAAAACCGTTTCAACGGGTCTGAAAACGTGACCAAGATCTTACGATTATTTAATGGACTTCAAGGCTTAAGCCATCGTGGCCTCAAAATCGAAAGCCGAAGACTGAACCCTGCATAGCTCAACAGCTTGCCTGCAGACTACATAAGTACTGAAACGGTTAGTTCTTTTACGAAAGCTATCCCCATTTTAACTCCGTTTCCTCTCCTTCAGTAGATCTAATTTATAGCCGTTAAATCAAAACAGTTGAAACAAACCTCCTGTTCAAAAGAACATTTTCCCGCAATAGCTACTGGATTTATTTCAATGTTGCACAAATTTTGAAGAACGTATTTAATGTAATTATTAAGTGGTAACCCTCAGTAGAAATATGAACAGCCATTTGTATGTTATGCAACAGCTGAATCAGTAAGACGGACTTGAATGAGAGAGACCGGGTGGACCTCGTTACATGATGAAAATAACGTAAACATATATACCAGCAAGAAATGAAAATAACCTACTTCGTTTTCATGACTCTGTTTCTTTGCCTCCAGTGTGGTTTTCTGGTCGAATTTTTGTGTTATTTCAAAAGCAAAGCAGCGGAAGCAAAGCAAAGAAACACAGTAAGTCAAGTTATCAACTACCTAATTCATCAAGGTCAGAGGGTTTAATATTTGCTCGTTACGACTTCGAATCACATGTTCTCCCTGGATACCCGGAAGGGCAATGCCTATTTTCCTCCGCAGGAAATAATTCCTTCGGCCATCTATGATCTATAACAAATCCTTTGTTCAAGACGAAAAATGAATACTTAATAAAAGGTATCAATGATTTTGGCCGATGGCCGTAAAACAGCTGAAACTTTTAATCGGTTGGCGTAGAATTTCGACCGTTCGACCCGGCCGGCGCAAGAGAGAATTCTGGGGACAGCTACCCCATAATTCTCTCTTGCCCTGCGTAATCTTTTTTAGCCAGAATTTTTTTTAAAAAAAAAAGAGAGTCGACATCGCTTGTTAGGATTTGTCTTGTCTCGTAATTTATGGATCCTATTTTACTGTAATTTTCATCCCGGAAAGGTCCTCAAACGCCTACAGACTGATGGAAAAATTTGACGTTTTTTCTTTACACGGGGAGAGAGAAAATGACTATTAACCATCTAAAAGCCGAGAACATTAACCGTGATTGTCACCACTCTATTGTGACGCTCTTTAATAGCCTCTTTACACAAATTGATTGATTGATTGATTTTATCGGTCTTTAAACTGAAATGCAAAGCGGGTCAAGCTTGGGTTACCTGTGGTTTGGTTTTGGTGTGGCCAGTTCCGCCCCAGTCGATGCCACTTTCTATGTGTAGTAGAATATTCTTAAAACGCTATTATTGACATAACACAAGTTTCGGTGGCCCGCTATTTATTAAAAACCTTTATATACAGGAAACCTAAACCATTTCACTCGTGATTCAGCCTTTGTACTTTGATCGCGGGCCACGACTCACATGCGTTGATACATGAGTTGGACCAAGATAAGCAATCTCTTGGTTGGACGGACTTGGGTTGATTCTGTTTTTGGAATTTCGAGCAGAATAAGCGATTTTTGAGGCGAGCGTTTGGCCTATATTTGGGACATGTGTAACTGGCAATTACCTTCCGTTTGCTTAATTTCTGCTCGAATGCCTACATTTTCAGTCCTTCAGGCCTTAAGCCAGTGGTAGCCTGGTACAGACCCGCCTCCCCTTCTCCGATTTTTCCTGAGGGGAGGTGGGGTCCGTACACAGGTTACCCATGGCTTAAGGCCTGAGGGGCTGAAAATGTAGGCTTTTGAGCAGAACTTCAAGCAGACAGAAAGTAATTTTTACGAGCATAATACCGCAGGCAGAATAAGCTATTCTACCCCTAGATTTTACCCAAGCCTCAAATGCCTGATCGATCATGTCCCTCAAACTATATAGCAGCCAGGTCAGAGGTTACACGAGACTGATTCAGTGTGTGTTGTCGGTTCAATATGAATTACATATATATTTTCAGGTTTTTCAAAGGCCTCTGTAAAAAGAACTGAAGTCTTCCAAGTCTAAACATGTTAACGTCAAATTTCATGATGATTATTCTCACCAGCATTCTAACAGTTTTGTCTTCTAAATACGGAGAGAAAGAAGCTTGTCTGAATTGCTCTTATGGGGGAAGTTTCATTAATGGAAGATGCGAATGTAAGGAAGACTCCAAAAGCGCAGGTAACTCAACACATAATTTTTCAACAACTATAAACAATTTTGATAAATGGAAAGAAATTTTAGTTTATATGAAGAACACTATCGAAAGGAAAAGAATAACGTTAGACGTCCAGCATTTCTCTCTATGAATTATTGAGTGAATTTGCATACCGAGGAGACTGTTATGTGGATAACAGCCTCCGAAAACTGCGTAATTCTACACTTCATGGGTCCTTCATACAGAAGCCGAATTCAATAACTGTTTTATTATTTACTCAAAATATTTTTAAGTTTTTAAAAACAGTCCGGAATATCCCTAAATCTAAGGACAGGGCCAACTGGTCACGCGACACTTTTCAACCAATGAGAAGGCGCGCTTGTGTTTATCAACAAATAAATCAAAACATCGCCCCAGTGATCAAAAATTTTCAAAACAGCGGACGGAGTCGGACAGAACTAAAGATGAGCTTACAGTACTCGTCTAGGTTGAACAAGTTTGCCTCCTCGTAGACTTTCTTCCAAACTTTGGCCTACTTCCACAATATAGACATATTTTTTTTCTTGTGGATACTCCTCAAGAGGTAGATATAAAGGTCCATTTTGAACAATATGTTTTGCGTATTCTTGCATTTCTTCCGTTCAGTTTTTCAGGAATCAGCTATTTCGTATTTTTCAGTCCCCTCGTGAAAGCTGAGCAGCCGCGCCTGAAAACGATGATCGATTGTCTGCAGCCCATGCAGCCTCGTTTCCAATCAAATATACCATCGCGGAGTATTCATTTCTAGCATCTTCAAAATTTGGTCAGCGCCGGTTGGTTTTGAAGAATTAGCCGGGTCTAGTATAGGCTAGTGGTCAGTGTAGCAGATGTTTAACGTGTAATTTCTTTAATTGTGACGCGTACTCTCTGGGTCTGTTATGCTGCAGCTTTCAGATCAGATTTACATTGCTAATTGTTTGGAAAAGTCAAAATTTTTTTCGAAAAGTCTTGTGATATGGTTGCCTGCGTGCAGACGTCTCCTATTTCCTTTGTTGCACGCGTGCAACAAAGGAAATAGGAGACGTCTGCACGCAGGCAAGCGATATGGTTGTCGTTAACACTTGTTTCATAGGTTCATTCACAAAATAAACCAGCATGGCTGAATAACAAGCAAATAAATTCGAAAAATTTGCTGTACATACTTACGTGCTTCGCGTCAGCTGTTCGCGTAAGTGGCAGAGACGCCCTCGCCAGTCGGTGGTGAAGCTGGAATTCTTCGTGAATATCTTTTTCTTTCTTACTGCAGTACATGCTTAACTAGTTATTGAGTTTGAGAGAACAAAACAATCAAAGCGCATAAAAGTTCGCTATTTCCTTATTGCTCTAATCTGTCCTCAATGCCACAATGAGATCCCGCATAGTCAACCCGAGCCCGAGCCCGAGCCCGAGCCCGAGCCCGAGCCCGAGCCCGAGCCCGAGCCCGAGCCCGAGCCCGAGCCCGAGCCCGAGCCCGAGCCCGAGCCCGAGCCCGAGCCCGAGCCCGAACCCGAGCCCGAGCCCGCTCTGAGGTCTCTGAGGATCCCTGTTGTTTCCATCTAGGAACTGGTTATACGACACAAATGACCACCACAAACCGCATCAAGCCAAGCGTTTTAAAATAATAATTCGATCTAAAAGAAAAAAATTTATAATTCGCAATCAGAACAAAGACAAATCAACTCTTAATCTCGTAGTTAAATTCAGCTTACAGGTTAGCAGATTCTTTTAACAGACCCTCCAGGTTAGCGGATTTATAGACAGGTGATAAATTAACTTCTTTCTTACTTCTATTCTACTGAAAAACTGGTTTGAAACATAACAGCCTGACGCTTTTAAATCAATATATGAATTTTATTTCATCACTGAATAAATCTGAGGCACTATTTGATAAACAAAACACCTGCATTTCAGAAAACGAAAAACATCGTAATAAATCTGAGGATTTGCTGGTTGTTGCGCCATACTGACGAGCCCCAAAAAGGGCGAAACAGCTGTCTATGGCTACAATCCCGCTCTGTTTCGAGTTCTTTCGGTGTCGTGTTGATGTCTTGCAGAGTTAATTTTCACGTAGTACGATCAGCATCGCAGTATTCTGCTCTCAAAAAAATTTGGCCGTATGAACGAGGTTTTTTTTTTACAAGAAAATGTGTGGCGGTTTTTGCTAGGCGGCCCAAAAGAAGTGGCCGCAATAAGGAGCTCACCGTATTACCGAGATGGCCGTAAGGCAGGGTTTCATTTTAGTCAAGGAAGTTTCCTGATACAAATTCTGCTTACTTCTCATATTTAGAAATATTTAATTAGATATTTATTCACTGAAGCACAATATCACTCATATTCTATATATGTATTCTAAAGCTTCAGCTATCAATCGTATTCACTCAAAGTTTTTTAGTTTGTTTTTTATTTAGTTTTCAGTTTTTCTTGCAACTGTCTTACATATCATTAGCGTAACTGATTGTCCGTTATTTTTCACATATGTTCAAAAATGCCACATTCTACCCCTGCAGAACGTCCCTGCAAAACTGGCAGAAGACTGCAGACTGATTCATCCCAGCCTACTCCATACCCCTGCCCTACCCCCTAATCGTGATGCAAAATGCTGGGCTGCACAATCCAAGTTTAGTCAAAATTTCCACTATTAAAAGAGACAATAAACCTCTTTGGTCCTTGTAAGATTTCCAGTATTTTCTGTTATAACGCCATGTATCGAAAAAAGTTACGCAATACCACGTGAAATAGTCTAGATAACCAGAACGCGCCAAATTTGCATATCTATTGCGGCCAGGCGCGTCATTCCAGCGGATGTGAGCTTGAGTTCAATTTCACCTGAAAACCTCTGCCAAAATACTCTTCTTACAGTATGATACAATGCTGACACAAGTTGGATTATAGAATACTTGAAGTTTAATCAGACATGGATTTATCCAGTTTTGTTCTTAACGGAGTGGTCTCGCTTATTCTGTTGAGTTGTCGTGCTGAACTTGCAAGCGGTACGTGTGTACTATGTGCTGTAAGCTTAACTTGAATTAAGTAAATTACTATTTATCTTCGAACTTGACGGTACAACTTTAAAAACCTTTTTTCGGTTAATTTTTTGTCGTTTGAGGCACTTTGTGAAGTTGTTTTGTCTTCGACTGTTAGAAATTTCTGCTGTTAAGCCTATATTTTATAATGGTTGTCGTGGTGTTTGTTAGTGATTCACGCCATGAGGCTCCAATTGGCCATGCATCAAAGCGTTGATCAATCTTTTGCAGCTCATTCTGTAATTTGAAACCACGAGAAACAAAGGTTAGGCGCCATTTTCAACTTGATTTGGTTGCAAACTTTGCAATGAAAGGAAACGGCGCCGTACAAAGCTACACGTGTTCCGTACAGCCTTTTTCAAACAAACATAATAACGTGAAAAGAGCGATCTTTTGTCTATCAAAGATCTGTTAAAAGGGATTTTATGGCTGTTAATCAAATTGTCAACAAGCTTGGCTTCCATTACGTACATTCAGTGAAGCAATTGAGGTACATTCTATCGCTTCATTCTTGCCCGTAAAAAATCTCTGGTCATGCTTATTTTATATGTTCTTTGACATTCCTTCAGGCGTGTCAAATTCGGCCTTTGACCACAGTTGGAAAGATATTAATGATTGTTTACTTAAATTCCTGTCACAGAATCTAATATAAGATCACACATTCACATATACAATACCGAGCTGCGAGCTGTTTAAAAAAGATTAATAAATTTCGTATGAAATATTGATTTATCAGCTCGAAATAAGACAAGTCAAACCCTTTAACTAGTAAAGTGCAATTTTGTCGTGTGTCATTTTAGCTTTATTTTTTAATTTTTTTTTTTAGAATTTAGATTTTAGATTTTAACTTTTATTTTATTGAATGTAAATTTTTAGGTAGCTAGTGCAGGTCCACATCAGGACTCTGGTCTTGTCAATTGTTATAACCTGCTTTTAAATAAACCATTTATGTAATGTGATGAGAAGATTGACAGCCATTTTTGTTCTTTCTTTGATTACCCTGTGAGCCTGCAAAGCTTTACTCAGCTTTACCATATTTATAGCACCTACGTGTAAGACAGTTACTACTTGTATGCCTAATATATGATAACGTCACTCCATAATTAGGCTTCTGACGTTCAGTAGGATCCGATTATACAAAACTTGGTCAATCTGGACTTCTCACTAACTTGAACTAATTTTCCTTAAATCCCTTTGGCTAGATGGTCTTTTTAACCTGCTATCTTAAACCCCCACCATTTAGTTTTTTTTTGGTTTCCTTTGGGAGTTTGATTTCGTTAGGCAGCATGAAGCTGTACTTGTCACTTGAGACCTAGATAGTTATGCTTCACTGAAATAAACAATGCATTGCAGTTGTACACAACCTGTCAACAGATCTGTGCCTTCTGGAGCGCGACAGTTTATTAGGAAGAAACCTCACCTGCTAAATCTGTATTTTAGGCTTCTGTAAACTCTTTGTTTACAAACTTGTTGCCTCATTTGTATGTGTTATCATAAATTATTCTTTAATATTTATAATCAAGCTATGTATGTTTACTCTTTGTGACACTCCAGGTATTGTAAATGTAGAGTGCCATAATGGTGCAATTAGCTGTCTATGCAAATTCGACCCCAATATGCTTCTGTGGTACTTGAAAAACTTAGATCATTATATGGCTTATTTGGTGCCAATATGCCAAATTGCGAATTTTTGCATAAATCTGCATAATTATAGATTAAGCAAGATATAATTTGTGTTGTCGGTGGAAATCATAAATTGTTGCTGGGAAAACAGAAGTACACTGATTTCAGTAAATGTGTGTGTATATACGGTACTTATGTATTGTTGATTCAGAGGAAGTCAGTATTTGCGTATACTGCTGAGATTCATGTGATACTGGCCAATGATGACAAGTAACATTTGTGGAATTCAACTAGTTGAATACTGTTTATCATAGTGTTAATTACAGTCATATAGTGTCCTTATAATTACATGTACCAATAAATGTTACATTAATGACAGAGCAGTCATTAATGGCTGTAACCTGTAACACCTGTTATGGCTGAGCTCATTTGATGTTACTAGTGATCAAAGTGGAAAGCAAAAGATGACACTTTAAATTTTTTGAGATGTTATGGATGAATCTTTATTAGCTATGGCTGCTTCCAAACTTAATGACATCCCTGAATTACATCAGTTATTTAATATTTTCGTCAAGAACATGCCCAAATGTGTATATTTTTGATTTTATTTGTTAGTAGTTGTATTGATATTATAACACTAAGACTGACGCCTTTTTGACAAGTTAGTTGCATTAAAAGATGCTATTACCCATACAGTCTTGTCTGAACAGGATCTGCTATCTTCTGGTTTATAGCATAGCAACTTTATAAACAGTTACTTAATCAAGAAGTGTGTGAGTCATGCATCACCATAGATTGAATAATAATTAGTACTGAAGCCATCAATAGGAATGCCGTCAGTTAAGTCTTTAGAGTATCTTAAGTAGTTGCCATTGAATCAATAAGTAATAATGCAACAGAAGATTTATCAACTATTAAAAACTATCTGTAGACCTGTTTATTTTATAATTATGTTAGTTATAGAATAAATTATTAATAGTGATTTTAACATGGACATGTTAGAATCATGTTTGTGTCCCAGCATCAACAAAACCTAGATTAGATCATCCCCTGTTATCCTACCTCTACCCTATTGTAATTTAGTGAGCTACAAGGATAACATTATCTGATTCAGGTTTTGTTGATGTCTCAGGTGTCCTTAATTTGACAGCACAGGACTCAAAGCTCTGACTGTTTTGATCACCATAGCAAGAGGAGAAAACTGTAGGCAACTTAAACTGCAGTTAAAGCAGCCAATTTTGTAACCTTTTTTTGGCAGTTATATGCCTAGCCAGAACGTTTTTTTATTTGGTCAGTGTTTATGGCTGTGGGATAAAAATTATTAAATTTGTCCAGTTATTAAAGTTTTGAGATGCGTGTTCCTCCAAATTCAGTTTCTATGGTTCAGGGCAGCCATTAGTGTACACTATATTATTTAAACCATTAAGGTAATATTGGGCAAAGTGTCCTTTTTTCTGGTGCCCGTTCTTTAAGTCTGGGACTTTTTAATTTTAGAGCATTTTTGAAAAAAGTTGTGCCTGGAACACTGTTTAAATTCTGTTATTTGTAACTTATTTATTGTTGTGTGTATTCTCCCTACCATACTGTGAGTAAAACTGTGAAAGGTTTGAACCCAGGAGTCATTTCATAAGTTTGTTAAGTATGATTGTCTAGGTGAACGTAGTCCTGAATAGGACTGTTGTTTACAGTGATTGACATTTTGACAACCTGTGTAGTAGTCATCTTCAGAGTCAAAGTGAGTTGTATCATGTCAGTTTATGCTATTAAACGCTGCTTATTGATCTGATTGGTCAATTACAGTGTAAGTCGCAATGTTATTGGTCATCTGCCAGTTAAGCCGTGATGCTATTGGCTATGAAGACTGCTATCAACTGAGGTTGAAGATGACTACCACAAAGGTTGTTGGAACGTCAGTCACTGTCAACAACAGTCCTATTTAGGACTATGTATATGAGTTCAACCTACTTATACTGTGAGTGTTGTAGCTTATATTTTTCTTGAGTTTGTTTGTTTTATTTTAGTCTTGTTTTCACCGTAGAATTTTCTGTGAACAAATTGCACAATTGTCTGTGAAAATAAGACACTATTGGTATTTCACTATTGGAATTTTGGAAAATATTTATAAACTTAATTAAGGAATTTTAACTGCTTTGCAATCATGAAATATGGCTTATGAGATGGCAGTTTTGGAACTTCATTTCTGAGTTCTTTATTATATTAGTATAAAAATCTTGCCAAAAGAAAATTCTTAAACTTACAGGGTTGCTGTCATGCAGGTAGAGAAAGGTAGAGCAGGTCCATTGTGTAATGCAAAGCAGAATTTTTTGTAGAAAAGGTACAAGGTTTGCATATATGAAACTTCCTTTTTGAGTACTATAAAATTACTGGTATGAAGGAATCTTGCCAACAGGAATCCTAAACTTGCAGGTTTGCTTTTATGCAGGTAGACAGAAAGTGCATGCAATCCCTTGTAATGCAAAGCAGAATTTGTAGAAAAAAGTACCGTTAGGGGAAGCTAAGGTGAAAAAGGTTTGAATTTGACAGTTTATTTTTTAAACTCTTGTCCTAGGAGAGGATTGTGGGCCAACAGGCTTCCGTTGTGCTGATGGTACATGTATATACAAGTCATGGAAGTGTGACCAAGATCTGGACTGCCCTGATGGTAGCGATGAAGCAGACTGTGGTAATTATTTACCAAGCATTTAATTATGTGTTCTGTTTCACAAATAAATTCAATTTTCCTGTTCATTTATTTGTCCAGTTATAGATAAATAAATAGGAATTTGAATACACAACACAAATTTAGTACATATAAATATTATTATTATTAAATGAAGTGAGAAGAAAAATGAAGTTAACCTGAATAAGTGTTTTTACTTTGCAATGATCATTGCCAGTTTTTCATGGGTAATTTTCATATTGGTGACCACATTGCAAATAGCCATATAATGGCATCTTCATAAGGGTTAATGACAAAGGCTTGGTTATCTCTGTTGACTGGCTTGCCATAGTTTCAAATGCCAGAAGGATGACCCTTCAGTTCTAAGAAGCTGGGTAGATCCTGCCATCTTTTTGGACCTTATCTTATCTAAGGTAACCATAATAGCCAATGACGACGTTAAGCTATTGGCCTGAACCTGTTTCAGGTTGTCTCACAGATTGGTTGAAGATGTAACACATACCAGTTTTTATATGATTTGAGGATGCATCTGTAACCTTTTTTTAAAATCTTTTATCTTCTTTTTTATATAATGAACACAATAGCCCTGCTAACTTTGACAATTCCAGTTGGTGAAGGTTAAAGGAAGTAATAAAATTAGGGCTTTGGAACCATGCAGCTCTACCAGTCTAAACTTTTCAGGTGCCGAATGTAATATTGTTTCTTTTTTTGGTGGTCTTGGCCTCTTTCAAACTGGGTGTGAAATGAAGTAACAGTATGCTTTACTCATTTTGGCATTGTTCATCAACTGCTCTGCAAGTTCATTAATGGTTCCTTCTGAAACCATCAACATTTGGACTTTTAAGGAAGGTCCAACACCATTCCATTTTTTCCTGTAACGATTTGTCTTTGTTTTGTGGGTTTGGAACTGCAAATCACTGTTCTAGAGGTGTACCTTTTTTCTTTTTTTGCCTCTCAAAACAATGACATCGGCTTGCTTTTACCATCTATTCACCTGTTAGTTGTATTGGTTAATCCTTTAACTCACCTTTTAGAGAACATTGACTTAAGTGTTGCTCGCACTCTTTTCAGAAAGAAATGACGCACTTGACCCAACCCTTGCCGGAAATCAGTTAAGGCTTCTAACGCATGAGGAGAGGGAAAGACGTTTGTTTTTGTTAGGTGTGCTTTCCAAACGTGCAACAATTTTTCCGAAGCTGTGGACTGTTCTCTCTCTGGAGACTGAAAACCATTCCTTCATGGTGAATTAGCATTAATACGATCGGCGTTATGCTGCAGCTTTAATCAATTCCTGCCATTTCTGATGATTCGCTATCCTTCTCTCGCTATCGTGGGCTATTCCGATAATTCCTCTCCCCGTGGTCTGTGAAGGTCATTCTCCTCCTTCACTATCTACACTATCTTCTCTGTCTCTACCGCCACCACACCCGCCACCTCCAACAACATCCCCACAAAATCCCGCAAAGGTTCAAATTTTGAGACGTCATGAGGAGAAAATACTTTCCAAGATGAAATAACTGCCTCGGAGATCAATTCAATTATCGCCGTAGTTAGAGGACTGTAACATACTAAGCGACCCTTGAAAGCTAACACCACTCGAAAGTATGGCTCCCTTTCGCCGTCGTTTTACAAAGAGTGCAGTAGTGGGGGAGAAACCGAATTATCCGTTTTTTTCAGGGGAATCTCATTAGCTTAAAGTGGAATAAATTAACGCCGATGACTTCGTAACCTTTTGTCTTTATCTCATGAGTAAAATGCGCAGGAATCTCATTAAGATATAGCCTGAATTTCATCCGATTACTTCGAGTCCTTATTACCCCCTCAGTGACGTCTGAATCGACCGGCCGTTAATGCCGTCCAGTGACGTCACTACTCCTTGACCTTTGCTTTAATTTATGCGAAAAGTACAACACGATTTTTAAGTGGCAAACCGAGACATATCGTTTGGAAATGTCTGCATGATACAGAATTGCTTTATTTTTTCGATCGTAATTCATGTTTAACGTTCAAACTATCAAATGCATGCAGTACAACTCTGAACCCGTTGTACTGAATTCTATAATCAAACTCGGTCGCAATCACGAAATGAAATAAACACACACACGGAACAGTTAGTTCAAAAACACAATGAGTTGCTTTAATTGAAAAGAAGCTATTCTGTCCTTAACGAAGAAAAAAAACAAGGGAACAAGAAAGAAACGCTAACAGAATCATTACACTTGACGGCGAAAATAGCAAAAAGGTCGAATTATGACAATGATCCCAGAAAACTTCGCGTAAACAAAATCAGCGGCCGCCGGAACCACAAAGTGGCTCTAAATGAAAAACCTACCGACTCTCCGCAATGATTATTCATTCGCAGTTCAATGTAGCATTTCAGTTCCGAAGACAAGGGCAATTTTTGATGTTTAAAGATCAAACATCGACCCTACATGGACCCCACACTCACCCTATCCTCAACAAAAAACAGTAGAAATGTGGTGTGTGGTGGCGGTGGTGGTAAAAGAGGGAAACAATAAAAACGTGGTGGTGGTTGTGGTGGAGGAAAACAATAGAAATGTGGTGGTGGGAAAAAAATGTTGGGGGTAGGGTCATTGTGGGGTCCATGTAGGGTCGATGTGGGGTCGATGTACGGTAGATGTGTGCGTGGATAGAAATTAAAACTAAAAAGTAAAATCAAAAAGGGAAATAAATCAATTGCGGAGGAGTAGGAGGGGTGTGGGGTAAGTAAAACATTGTCTTTTGTGTTAAAAAGATCTAGTTTGCCTTTGCCTTCATTAATATGCACCATTTGCCCGCCAAAAATCAGTGAACCGGAACTAGGACAATCAGAGCAGCAGGAAATGGGACTTACGTTGCGTCTCAGTGAGTTTTAGTCACATGCTGCGGTCACATCTCCGATGTAACTAAAGTTTAACGTAAGTTACTGTCAAGTTACGTGATGTCATATGCGGTCACAACACGCAGTTAGCAACAGTTAGTTCTAATTAGCCTATGTAAATTTTTTGTTTGTTGTTTCTAGTTTCCCCCTTGCTTGACGCTTGGTTTTTATTTTGCATATTTATATATGCTCATCTCACACGTGCGAAAAGAAGTGTCACATTCTGATTGGTTGTTTGTTTGTAAACTTGACTAACCCTGCTTGGGTATAGCTATAGTTAGTCTGCATTGTTTCGGATCACCGAGGCGTAAATTTTCTAACTATAGTTAGAGCGAACAGAGAAGAGGTCACATTACCGAAATAGCTAACAATAGTTATCCCCGTCTTAACTATAGTTAGTAGCCCAGATGTGACCACAGCCAGAGACAAGTTTGACTTTATTCCTCAGACACTATGAATTAACCAATGAAAAGGTTTCTTATTTTCTAACTAACCAATCGAAAACGAAGACGTTTATCGACCTTAAAGTAACTAGAAAACCTAAACCAACTAAAAATAGCGCACGACCTTATCCTAATGAGATTCCTGCGCATTTTACTCATGAGATAAAGACAAAAGGTTATGACGTCACTCGTCCACTTCAAACTAATGAGATTCCACTTCCAAAAACTGGATAATTCGATCCCTCCTCCACTACTGAGCGCAGTCTTCTAATGATTACCTGAACACCACCATGCCTTCGTTGGAGTATAATCTTGCTAGAGTACCGCACCTATTCTGACATACTGTAAACTGTCTCTTATAAGCGCCTCCAGTTATAGGCAAATTTACCTGTAAACCAGAAATTCAACCGATTACAAACCCCCCTCTAAATTTGATTGTATTTCCCCCTTGACTTAATTGGCTGTTGGTGCACTTGGTGCACATTTAATGTGTCTGCTGCATATTGAATTGAGACGTCAACAAGTGTTAACCTTTCCTTACTCTTGAATTCAACAACCGAAGGTTTCTACGACCTATGTTTATCCATTTGCAGGGGCGGATCCAGGATTTTTTTAGGAGGGGGTGCACTCGTCTCTTGTTCTACTTCAACACCAATAAACCACATAGTTTTTTTTTTGGCAGAATACCAGTTGTATTAGAAAACCGCAGGTCATCTTAGGGGGGGGGGGGGGTGCGCACCCCCTGCACGCTCCTCCTAGATCCGCCCCTGATTTGCCCTTCATGTCGTTATTTGCCGTCCTTATTTGCTGTTTTGTGCAATCGTCACTTTCACTGTCAGTGTTTAATCATTTGCTGCCACACTGTTAGTAATGGTAACAGGACTGAGTGGAGTCCAATTCGGTCTGTAACCATACGAGTGATTAACAAAATCGGACGACCGCGTAGTGGGAGTGACGGTCTGATTTGTCTAATCACGAGTATGATTACAGACCGAATTGGACGACACGAAGTTCTGTTATCAGTTAATTATAACTTTAACGAAATTTGTGATATATTAGGCTCTTTTTTTAATCAAAACACAAGAAATTCCGAGATTTTTTTGCTAGCAGTGAAAAAAAAGCCATTTAAGCGCGCGCGTGATGGCGCGTACTGTCCAATTACTTACGCATGACGCGTACTGTCCTATTTAACTGTCCTATTAAGGCTGAAATCAGGGCAGTTGATAGCCAATCAGATTTAAGAATTTTGTTACAGTTATGATTATGATGATGATTATGATTATTATCATGCGTTAAACTTCTGAACAACACTGTTTATGACTATTTCTCTGCTAATTTTGGTCAAGTTGCACGAGCTCCTGATGAAAGCCTGATAAGGAAATACGAAGGCAAATCTAAAAATGAACTGAAGAAATCTCTCAAAGTCTTGAAGCAGTCCTCTAACGCCGACATCACAGAAATCAAATACGTATCTCGCTTATTGCGTGACATACTACGAGACAACACGTCGTGTCAAGTCAACGCTGACCCGATGAATCATGATTATTCCATCTCTAAAAATTTCTGGGGATGTGTCAAAAAGATCTTCAACAAAAAAGATGAAATCCTCCCTTCGTTTTCCATGAATGAGTGTTTTGATTACTTTGCAAGAACTCTTTCGTCAGTAAATCCGACTAAAGTTTTCAACCTCCCAGGCTGGATACCAACTTTATCAGAGCCTGTACTTCCGTTTAACCTTGAACCTCCAACATACCAACAGATCTCAAATGTGATTAGAAAAATCAAGGCGTCCGGTTCTCCTTTTCCCCTAGATCAATTGTCAATAATTTGTTTCAAACGATGTCCTTTTCGCACCTATTTATCTGAAATTATACGCACAGCTTGGTCAACTGGATCCGTCCCAATCGAATGGAAGCGAGCTTGCACAATATATCCTTATCCACAAAAAGGAAAACGCTAATGACCCTGCTAACTTCCGTCCTATTACTTTACAATCTGTGCCTTTAAAGGTTTTTACTTCGTGTCTTCGTAATGCCATTTTCAACTTCCTCTCCGCTAACAACTACATTGAACAGGAAATTCAAAAAGGCCTTACACCAGGTCTTTCTGGAACTTTTGAGCACACTGCTCAAATGGCTGATATCATTAACAAAGCTCGTACCAAACAGCGTTCACTCGTTATTACTCTTTTGAACCTTAAAAACGCGTTTGGTGAAGTTCATCACAACTTGATTCAAACCGCTCTTGATTATCACCACATTCCCGATCATATCAAATCACTGGTGAAAAGTCTTTATACTGACTTCAAAACCTCCATTCTTACAAACGAATTTCGCACTCCGTTTATATCTGTTGGTCGTGGTGTACTCCAAGGTGATTGCCTAAGCCCACTTCTCTTCAACTTGTGTTTTAACACGTCTACAGCATATTAAATCTGAAAAATACCGTCAATTTGGCTTTTCCCTCAACTTCTTAAATCCCATCCACTGGTTCCAGTTCGCTGACGATGCCGCTGTCATACTGAGCGGTCAGGAATCAGAAAATCAACATCTAATCAACCGCTTTATAATCTAGTGTAATTGGTCGAACATGATAATAAGAGTTGATAAATGTTCTACTTTTGGAATACGGAAACTGTGCACTAAATCTGTCCAATATTTACCTAAACTGTTGATCAATGGAGTTCTAATTCCCTGTGTGGAAATGGGTGAATCATTTCGTTACTTAGGTCGCTTCTTTGACTTCAACGTGTCTAACGACCAACACATGTCTGAACTGTCCTCTCTTGTACAAGACTTGATGAATGACATTGATGCAAAGCCATTACATCCTAAACACAAACTTCTTCTGTACAGCCGCTATGTCCTATCTAAATTGTCCTGGCATTTCACCATAGCAAATATATCCAAAATCTGGATAGCGGAACATCTCGACTGTGGAGTGAATGGCTATATTCGAAAATGGCTTGATATTCCGATATCTGTAACACTGAGCAATGTTTTCCTAGAACGCAATAAATTTGGTCTTAATATTTGTCCTCCTTCTATTAAATTTACTCAGTGCCAAACAGTTCTCCGAAATTCATTAAAAGAGTCACCAAATGATTCCTTAAAAGATCTCTGGAAATCGTCAAGGTGTCACACAAATATTCAATATGATGTGTACAAATCCACTAAGGAAGTTCTTAAAGATTTCCGTTCTAATCAAGAGGATAAACTGCAACACCACCTAACGTCTCGAGGTTTCTTCTTCTCAAATGTTATCAAGTACTGATTGTCATCTGTAAATTCTATTTGGTCAGAGGCCCAGTCTCATCTACCCAAGAACATTTACAATTTTACCATCCGCTTCATCAACAACTCCCTCCCTTACACCTAAGAATATGGCAAGATGGGGTTTATCACAAAGTCCTGATTGCTCCTTTTTGCCTTAATCCTGAATCACGCCTTCATGTTGTCGCTGGTTGTCAACAGTACCTTGATCGCTTTACCTGGAGACACGACTCAATCCTTAACTTCATTGCCAAGTCACTTCAACCTGTAATTAATGTTCACTCTTCACTCTATGCAGATGTTAATGGTTTTCTGAATAATAACTCAATAATAATTGGTGAAAATTATCGTCCAGATCTTCTTTTCCTAATCCAGTCCAAGTGCCTATATGTTCTAGAATTAACAGGTGGTTTCGAGTCTAACCTTAACAACAATGCAGTGCGTAAGAAGGAAAAATATCTGAACTTGATCAACGAACTGAGTAGAAATTACAGATGTGTGAGATTTGTAAATCTCTCCATGAGTTCCCTTTGCGTTTTCTCCGATGAATGCTCCACGTTCTTAGACATGATGAATGACACTGGCATCGACAAAAAGCAGCAACGTTATATAGTCAAGAAAATGATAAATATAGCCATTAGAGCAACATATTACATCTTTTGTTGTAGAAATAGGAACTGGGATAGCCCAGACTTAATGCAATTTTGATTTTTTTTTGGCTTTTGTTTTTGTTTTTGTTTGTTTGTTTGTTTTTTTTTAATAATCCAATCTCAAGCAGCAGTTTGTAAATTGCCTATACGTAGCGAGATTTACCATTGTACATTCAAAAACACAGATAAAGTTTCCATTATTACCATTATTATTATTATTATTATTATTATTATTATTATTATTATTATTGTACTTCCATAACTTCGTGACAGTGGTAATAGGGAGTTTAAGATACGGAGACTACGGACTACGAACTACGGCTGGACGAGCTTTGTCCTTTGTTTGTAGCACTGGGTTGAGTCGTGCAAATATATAAACGTTACGATTGCACTACAGACAGTAGACTACGAGAGAAGAGGCGGAGTGGGAAACAACACGCAAAGATTTTCTTGTTTTCATCACAGTTCACGAAAACGCAAGTCAGTTTTGCATGTGATCTTATCTTTAGAACAATGAACAAATTCTTCCATACTTAAAGGAAGCAATTATGTCTGGTGAAATTGGTAAACAAAGTTTTGGTTACACAGGTTTTATTTTTTTCGCCCATGAACACTTATGTCAAATATTTAAGAAATAGACAGAAATAGTAATAGCTCATTTATTAGATTTAGAAGATGGACTTCTCCGACTACTGATCTGATGTAGATTGAAGTATTGAAATGTCGAGTTTCGATTGTCTCGAAGATTTTTACATCATTTTCATTCAGAAAATGCGATACAAAAACTCGCTTAAACAAAGGTTACACAAGTAGAAAGACACACTAATCAGTTCGAACAAACATTGAAACTTTTCAAGTGCGAAGAGAAAGTAAATTACCTGCATGATTTCTCTTCTCCTCGGCCGTCAATCTGAATTCTGTGTATAAACAGCTAAGCTTATTTCAATTTGAGCTTAGCTAGATAAAAATGTAGTCACAACAGTGGATTAAAAGCGTAAATCTGATCAGAAATTAGACACAACTTGCATATTTCGCTTCCCTCTCACTTAAAGCAGGTGAATTGAAAACTTTTTTACGAAAAGACGAGATTCTTGAATTACCGAGACGGCAAAATACGAGCAAAATGTTCTCCGTAGTCCCGACTACGCGAAACAGCTCAACAACTCACCGTAGCCGCAGGACTACGTGGGAAAAATGAACAGTCACATGGTTTTGATCATGCGCAGTAGCATGTTTATCCGTAGTCGTAGACCGTAGTCGCCGTATCTTAAACTCCCTAATAGCAAAGTTAAGACACTCTATCCAACTTTATAAAATGAAGACGTGTTTCGGGGTGTAACGTCTTCGGATTGTAGCTTTTTATTATAAGCAGAAGAAAATGGAGCACTAAATTAACCTGATGATGGCATGAGTCATATTACTCCGAAATAAATGAATCGTGTGTCTTTTGCACTGCGCAGCACGGACTGGCATACCAAGTTGGCCGCCTTTAAATAGAGCTACCACAAAAACATTGTGGTCAATCAAAAGATAACTTCAATGAAATGTTCGGTAGTTGTTTTTTACTGACCGAGATGAATCAGAAAATATGTTAATTGTAATCGGTACGAGTTTTGCTGTGTTCGACTTACTCACACTGATAGTTTATGAACTTGCAGTGCATTAAAAATCTATCTTCTCCCAAAAACGTTCTCTAATTGCGATAACTTGTCTATCCTTTGTCTACTGAAGTGTCGATTCGATAAGTCATCAAACGTCTGCTTGCTATTTTTTAGATAATATCAGCTGTTCAGCACTAGAGTTTTCATGTGGTAGTCGTTGTATTCCACGAAGTTGGCGCTGTGATGGTGAAGTGGACTGCAATCCCAAAGGAGAAGATGAAAAAGGATGCAGTAAGTATTTCATTCGTCACTGCTGTGACGGTCAGCAGTTCCAGGATTTTTAGAAACAGTTTGTGTATTGTCAATTGTTTTGATGTTACCGTTGCCGTCGTCTTTGTTGTTTTGTAAGTTTCCTAATAAGGAGCTTTAGTAACGATGACTGCGACCGCAACCTAGAACGTCAAAAAAAAAAAAGATAAATAAATAACTAAAGAAAGAAAGAAAGAAAGAAAGAAAATAAAATAGAAAAAGTGGTTTGATATGCAAAACAACATCTCTGCACGTACAGCACACTGTTTTGTATACAGCTATTTCGAGAAAGGTTGTCGGAAAAAGTGCACGCGACAATCCCGAAAGGTATTGTGGGTGGTTTTGAGTGCTCTGTTCTTCAAAGAAATTTGAAAAAATGGCACGGGAGGCCACGGACATATGTTTGCGAGTGCTAAAGGAAAGCAACAAAAGTATGTTCGACAGCTACAGTCGTCAGGAACAGTGTATTGATCATATCCTATTACCTTTCGGGATTGTCGCGTGCACATTTTTTCCGACAACCTTTCTCGAAATAGCTGTATTTCTTTCTCGTCACTGCACGACTACGCATGAAATTTTCTCTTGCGACATTTTATGGAGGACGTAAGCACATGACAAATCTTTCTGTCTTTCCTAATTTGGGTGTGGTCCTCAAAGACTCATTTCCAGGGAAGTTCACCTACATTCGATATTTTGAGCATGATAAAATACTAAAAAAGGATTTAGCAGGAAATTGCTAATTGAGGGACACTATTTTCACGTCTCCTACTTTAGACGGGACCGCCATTTTGCGTTGTCATCTGAGCCACGCGAAGGTCTAGCTCTTTGCAGGGCAAAGGCAATTTCTTCATTTCTCAGTTATTTTAAGACTCTTCAGGGTGTAAAGAGGGTCAGTTTACAGCTTGTCATTTGGGCAAGCTGCAGCTAGCATGTACATGTACAAGCCCAAGAATCATTTTAACAAGCCCGAATTTTTTTTGATAAGCGGGATTGACAACAGTTCTTCTGTAACTTGAATCCCCCATTAAAACTTCACTTGCCTGTCGGGCAAGTCGAGAACAGAATTCACTAGCCTGTTAGCAAAATCCGTTAGCCCCGCGCGGGCTATTGGACGCTACTCTCTTTTCACGCGGCCCACCCTGAGTATTGGTCTGGCCTCAGGAATCGAACTCACGACCTCCCGCTGTACAGTCTAGCTGCTAATCCTGCTGCGGTAAAAAACAAATTCATGTCTATACTAACGTTTTCCTTGCCTTCAGCATCGGCGTTGCTAAATCTCCCTAATAGGTACCATTCGATCCGACAACGGAAATGACAATGAAAACGTCGCTAAAACTAGACTTTGCATCCTGTCTAACTTTTTGCGATTATTCCAACTCGCCCAGTCACTTAAAAAAAGGGAAATTGAGTTGGAGCTGAAGGGGTTGGACCGCCGAGCCTGGATTATCGCCTTGCTGTTCCTTTGGTCAAGTAAACTTAGAATTTTGTCATTTCAAATCTTTGTCGTACAGAGTGCAAAGAAATTTACCGCAAAGCTTGATACACGTTTTTTTTGCTCTCTAAATCTTTTGCTCTTTTGACGTTCTAGTTGCCGTCAATTAGGTTAATTAGGTCCCTTATTAAGGACTGTAAGCAAATCGCTTCGGTGACCTCTACTACGGCGGCTGGAAGTAAAAAAGCCCAAAAATGACTCAGTGCGCATGCTTGAAAATGACCTTTCGCCGTAGCAAGCCGTAGCGCCCAATCCTACAAAGTGAAGACCTGTCTTGTGGCGTAATGGCCACTACGTTAGTATAAAAATCCGCTTTTCTCCTGGTATTTTTTTTTACAATCTTAGGTTTTGAAATCTATCAAGGATTGTTTTTCACTTAATCAAGAAAGTATTTGACGCTTCTGGTTTTCCAGTTATTACGTCTTCCCTGCCGTTTACTAACAGCGAAAGCAAATAAGCGAGATACCTCGTAGTCAATGTTTGGGTACCGCTTGAATAAAGTTGAAATTTGCGGACTACGTTGAGGTACTCTCACCAGTATTCCGCATCCACGACCGCCGTAGTCGAGGCCGCCGTAGCGATTCTATTAGGGACCTTACGGTCCGACAGCGGCGACGTCCATGAAAGCGTCGCTAAAAAACAGTCTTCGCATCCTTTCACTTTTTTTCGCGATTATTCCAAGGGACCCAGTTACTTAAAAGAAGGGAATTGGGTTGGAGCTGAAGAGAAGGGACCGCGCCCGAGTTCTGACAGAGATGGTAGAATTTATCGCCTTGCCGTTTCCGTTCCCAAGTAAACTTGAAATTTGGTCAACTCGCGTCCTGGTTATGCAGGGACAGCAAAGAAATGTACAAAAAAGCGTGATTGTTGTTTTGCTCTTTGAACCTATTGCGTTTTTGACGTTCCCGTTGCCGTCGCCGTCGCCGTCGCCGTCGCCGTCGCCGTCGCCGTCGCCGTCGCCGTCGTAGTTTCGTAAGGTTCCAAATGTTTGCACGAGTGATCCAACTAAACTTTTGCCAGCTAGAATAAGTAATTTTCCTGCAGCCAATCTCATATTGACAGAAAATCATAACATTTTACTTCAACAGCAGAAACAACAACGTGCTCTAGTAAACAGTTCCAGTGTGCTGATAAATCGCGCTGCATTCCTACAAGATGGCAGTGTGATGGAAAGGCAGAGTGTTTTGATGGAAGTGATGAAATTAACTGTGGTGGGCTATACGTCATTGTTTTTTTTAATGAGAACGGAATTTATTACATGATAATGCCTTGGTGATTAAATTGCCTTTTGATCATCCTTCAGACCCGCCAGTTAGCTGTTTGCGAAATTCCCCTGCATACCTGAATACGTAACTGGGGGATTTCTCGTGGGTTGCGTATATCCAGTTCATCGTGTGCTTTTGGTTTGTCCCACCCATAGTATAGGTCATTTCGAGTTCAAGAACCCTCACCTTCAAAACGGGGCTAAGTGCAAACCCTTTCTTGTGATAACTAGACGCGTATAAACTGTGTGACCACGGGCTTCCGTAGAAAGAAGTTCAAACAAAAAAATCTTCAACTAAGAAATCACAGTCTTCAAAGGCAACGTATATCGAAGTAACGACTCGACAACATAAATATCTGGAAACGATGCTTGCCTGGCTAAGGGCCTCTCCATATGAGCCCACCGGGTTGACGGAAATCTCGCCTTGCCTCTAGATCCTTTGTAAAATTTTTGATGTGTCCATAATGAGAGGGCAGGCTGGCTCGGTTCACGAGATCTTGGTTTTTCCAACCGGGAATTTTGCCATGTAAACACTTCAGCCCGGTTACCGGGATGAAAGCGTGATCAATTCTGCCGGTCCGGATGGCATCGTCTTGAAATTGCCTGCTGTATTTTCCATATCATAAGCATCCCATTTAACTGCAGTGATACAGCTTTAAGAGTTGCAGAAGCTATGATAGGTGCGAAAGTTATAATTTTTGTGTTTCCCTATGTTTGCTTTGTTTCTCGAATTTGACTCCAGAACTCGTCCCCAGGATCTTTGGCCGTTTCTCATCTCGGAAACCAGGCTAAAATTTCTCATATGAACCCAAGGCGAAATTCGTCCTGGTCAACCGCGGCTCATGTTTAGACGCCCTAAAACGTAGTAGATTGCAGTGATTGTTTAGTAGACGTCATATTAAAAACAAAGAATTATAAAATCAAAGGCATCAAAGCAAAGAGCAAAAAAAAGTCAACCAAAAGTATTCAATTCTTTTTCTGTTCCTCGTTCTCTAAGGCAACAAAGCTTATAAATATGGAGGCATTCATTATCTTCAACTAAGACTCTTCAATTGATCTGAAACACTCTGTTGAAATTCCTTTGATAGCTCACGACTTAGAGAGGGCTTCTTGATAAGGTTCACTCGGAAGGGTTTTTTAGTAAGCTGGACTCGCGAAGTCAGTCACTGATTGATTACTGAAGCGTTCGCTCGCCATTTTTTACTGTAGGTCTAGAGATGAGAAGCGTGTGCATTTGGTGTATTAATTTCGCGTATCTGAAGAAATGACAATTCATTCTTGCGATCACTGAGTCTTTAGACACTGAATACAGATGGCTTTGCTCACCTCATGCAAATGGCCATTTCCTCTGGTTTAGTCCGCAGACGTATTTTATGCATACTGTTATATCTTTTGCACGTGATGAATCTGGACGCCAGAGAGCGATTTAGCTCGGACGTTCCCACGGAAGCGCTAGCAATGAGTTTTATTTGCCTGAGAATAGAAAAAAAATTCACTTTTATATCAATGGCTTCGCACTTAGCCTCGCTTTAAAACAGGCTTTAAACAACTCGGAAATGGTCTATTGCGTTTAAAGGGGGTCATGTCAAGAGTATATTGCTGTTTTAGGTCAATTCTGTGCTGTCATTACTTAATGCGTTTACCCATTCCTAAACTGCTTTTGTAGAGTTATGAAGACAAGAAACTCAGACTGGATCACTTCCTTCCCGCTTAGATTCTTAGAGCGGTTTTCACTTGACTGTCGTAAAACCAAAACCAAAGTAAACACACTAGCCAACCAAAGGGCGTAGTAAAACCAAAACCAAAATCAAAACCAATCCCTTTCGACAGTCAAGTGAAAACCGCTCTATTACACTATGCGCGCATGCACGCCTGAAACCAAAGATCTTTAAAATATTTGATTCAGCAACGACATCAATCTTAACTGTAAAATTAAACAACCCTTATATTTCTGGTTCTGTGATTGTTGGTGACCAGTTTCAAATTACGTTTCTTTTAAAAAGGTTTACGAGACAAACTAATAACATCCTTATCGCGTCTTATAATGTACATATTATTATCAATAGTAATTGTTTGATATTTCTGGTGTATTGATATACAGAAAATCACACTTGCGCCAGTCACGATTTCAGTTGTGCCAATGGAAAGACTTGTATTAAAATGGAATGGGTGTGTGACCTAGATGATGACTGTGGAGACATGTCTGATGAAGCTGGTTGTCCACGTGAGTATTCTGAGTTTCTAAAGTTTCTTGGAGTTCAGAGAGATCTTTACCTAATATATTCCAAGGTTTTTATCACTGTAAATGCAGATAATCTAACTGAACTCTTTAGTGTCAGTTCAACAAGTAGCACATTCCACAGTCAATTCTTTGAACCTTTTGGTCAAATGGAAAATACGGTTTTAACAGCTGGAAAATTGAAAAAAGCGGGGCTCAAATTATAGGGATTAATTGTTAAAAAAAAGAGAAGAAAAGAAAGAGAAACGGGTTGTTTAAGGAGGGTCACGGAGGCTCCAAAAAGCCACCACTTCATAAAGTCCAAACTTCCATGCTGTCGGTTTTATTGTATCCCGCGAGGTAAGAGTGGATAAGATAGACGAATGATCATTTTGTAAGTTAAGTTAAGTAGTTTGTTGATTTATAGCTGTTATTTGTTTCAGCTAAGCCTTCTTGCGGGGACGATGAGTTCAGATGTAGAAATGGACAGTGCGTATCAAACCACTGGGTGTGTGATAAACAAAATGATTGTAGAGACTTGTCTGATGAGCTCAATTGCAGTAAGTAGAAGAGACCGGCTATAGTGCTTTGACGCGCTGTCAAAACCATTGTCTGAGGATCAGAGTTGTCACTAAGTTTTCAAGTTGCCGGGTAAATACAACAAGTAGGCGGGGAATCAAACGGCTACGGATTTCTTTTGGTTCTATTTTTCTTCTATCTTCCAATAAAAGTAGCCAGGGGCTACTCTCTTAGTAGCCGGGGAAAATCCCCGGCCCCCGGCTCTTAATGACAACCCTGGAGGATGATTGCTTTATATTGGGTGATATGAAAGCAAATCTAGTAGCTGTTCTTTTTGCAGCCCCTATCTGTTTATGATCTGTACTATACTCTTGGGTCGTTTGTGGTAAACGTAATGATCTATACAGGGCATGGTGCCGTAGTTAGGTGAACAAAGCTTGCAGCCAGTTATTCAAAGATATCGACCTAGTGTCCCAAAATTCACGTCGCCAGGTTGTGGGACGTTAGAGAAGTTATTAGCTGTTGATTCCCCCTGATGCGAACGTGAATTACACCGTACTCTTTATGTTCTAGCGGTTAACCTTCTAATAGATGAAATATCCTTTGTTTTACATCCTTATTTAAAGTTCAGTAAACGCACTGCAGTGTCTCATGAAATGTGTCACAGTCACCGCACTGTAATTATTGACCATGTTTGTTTACCATGGGGAGATAAACAGTGTACGGGGGACGCAGTTTGTTACTTACAGCTTTTGGACCTACAAAAGGCTTTGCATCACGACCGCAAGGTTAAAGGCAGCAAGATCTAATGGTTTTCTGTTCTTTTCATGTAGCGCAAAGTGAATGTGATACAGCAACAGAATTTCGCTGTTCTGATGGAAGATGTATTAATATCAACTGGAAATGTGACGGAGAAGCAGATTGTGATGACAAGTCTGATGAACAAGCTTGTGGTAATTAATATTGGCTAGTTTAAGTAAAAGGGCAAGATAACCTTCATGTTCGCTCAGCTCTGAGTGAATCTTAGTGGGTTCGAGCGAATGATAAAGAAGATAACACAATACTGATAATAGTCGTAATAGGAATGGTAACTGGCTGAAGGTGAACCAGTTGGTTAGTTGTAAGCACTGCAGACGAGTTGAACTCCAGACTCCCGAGTAACAACCCTAGCGAGTTATCAGAGCGAGATGTGCACCTGAGATCTTCGAATAACAAATCCAACGCTATGGCAGACCGGTTGAACTCACTAGGTAGAGAACTGTGTGCTCTGCAGATTGGTTCATGCACTGGGCTCGAGGTGTACTACGGGGCTGTTTCTGGTTCACTATCAGCGCCACTTTATTGGCTATTACGAGATTGCCGCGTTGCCTTGGAAACTGGATCAAAATGCGCCGCCCAAACAACCACGCAACACTGAGCCAGTCTCTCATACAACCTCCAAATATCCAATTACCTCTTACTACCCTTCAACCTGACATGTTGTGCACAACAAGAGGTCATTTTATTTCTTTTTCCATTTTGTTGTGGTTAATTAGATAGTAATTCGTATTTATTAGATATCTTGCGTCTTTGAAGGCTGCAGTGTTGTTATTTTGCAAGAATTATTGTGAACAAAGATTCACTAGTACATCCAGAGTATTTCCTTTATCTTTAAGGATTTCCGCCTGCTTACTTACTGTTTATAGGATAGATCATATTTGCCTGCCTTGGTATTAATATTGAATTTATACATTTCTTTTTAAATATAAGGTCCTGTATCATGTTCGCCTGGCGAATGGCAATGTGTTGGTACCACTCATTGCTTAAAAATGACTCAAGTGTGTGATGGGAATAATGATTGTGGAGACAACTCTGACGAAGGAACTCACTGCTGTAAGTACCTTTTATTCTTGTTCTGTTTTACAAGGCTGATTCTTTTCCTTTTATAACAATTATGTAATCTGAAAAAAATTCCACTTTGTCGTGCATCTGTACGTTCAATCTCAATCCTGATTAAACTCTACTGAATACAAATCTCTGAATATATGTAGAAATATTTACTTCCTTCACATTTCTTGCCATGGTCGAGCTTGAAGCTTACAGCTGTTATAAAGCTGGACTTTGTTCTTTTTAAGGCACCTAAGAAACATATCGCATTACTATGGCCTGTTGTCTCAAATAGCAATTTTCAAGGGAAGTTAAAACTAGTTTCCTGATTGTTTTGGCTTTACATTATTAGCTTTGTGATTGGCTAAAAACCTCGCTATCCTTTTTCAAATCATCCGAAACGGGACCGAAAGTGGGATTGTACCTGCTGGTAACGGAACCAGTTAAAAATTGTTCCCACCCTAGTTAGGGACTGGTAGTTAATAGGTACTTTACGGTGCAATATCTGATAGGTTTAACCTTTTTGTGCCACCTGGTCTGAACTGATTAATGAAATATGTTTTTTTTTCAGTAAATCGTGATTGTTTGCGGCAGCGGAATTGTAGTCACAGTCTGTGTCGAGATACTCCTAAAGGTCCAGAGTGTTACTGTAAGCCGGGATATGTTCTGGATTCTGATGGCATATCTTGCAATGGTAAGTACGTGCAGCGCCGCAGCTTGTTTTTGTCTGTTCTCTTGAGTTTTAACTTCTGTTATTAGTAATGGAAGGTGGTGCTATACCCATGCTTTGGAAACTGTTCGACCTTCGTATGACTTTGATGACGACGTAGAAATGGCAGTCCTGTATCTTGTCGTCTCTAACAAACAGTGTCCTCAAAAAAGTAGTACGTCCTGCTAAATATATCCGCACTTGAAGAAAGCGGTGTTATCAACGATATGAAGACGATGATCTTGGATGTGTTGTGTATGACCTTTGATAAAGACCGTACACGGTAGCGTTTTTCTCTGTGCGGATTATCATTTTCTTTTATTGTGCCTCTGCAGATATAGATGAATGTTTAACAGTTGGAATATGTGATCATGATTGTGTTAACACGAATGGTTCCTATAAATGCCAGTGTGCACGAGGATATGTGTTTGAACCTTCGCGGACCTGTCGACCACAAGGTAAAGTTTCTCCACAAGGCTGTTGGGGCAGATTTTGTGTCTGAGAATTCGCTATCGTTATTATTAGGCACTTCATGCTATACTTTTGTTAGACAAATAAGACGCAAACTTCCCGTATAAACGGCAAATTTCGTCTGAAACAAGACGCGACTTAAGAACTCCGTATAAACGATCTTCGCGTCTTACATAAAATCCGTCTTATTTTTGCTTGTATAGGTCCTGAATGAATCCTTAGTTTACAATAGAGAATTGAATACGTTAAATAAGCGTATAAAAAAGCTAATTACAAGAAAAGATTACAGACATGTTTATCTCTGTTTTAGGAGGCGACGAACCATGGCTGCTGTTGGCAAATATAAAGAGCATCCGACTTGTTAGTCTGAATGGTAAAGTGTACAGTTATGTCTTCTCAAAATTGAGTCGCACCATCGCTCTCGACTTTGACTTCAGTGATCAAAAACTCTACTGGACTGATGTAGCCGAAAATGCAATTCATTCAACACTTCTTCAGGTTAATGAGAGTGGCGCTTACCCTGGGAAGGTCGGTATTTTGTTTTTTACTTTCTTAATCCTGAAAAGATTGGCAGAACCAAAAACTGACAGGAGTTTGCAAAAATGTTGAAACCTCAGCGGTTCTGTAGAAAGTGTTGCCATATAGCTGCTTTCGCATTAGCGAGGTTTCTCGTTCAATCACAGGCAACCGAGGCTCTGTGATAGTACCGCAGTACGGCTCTAGTAAATTTACAGTGTTTGTATGGGGTAAAAATACGATCCTAAAATTTGTAGGTTACCCGTGGTTCAATTCCTCGTACAATCACCCCGTCGCTGTTTCCCTAAAATTCATTCTATCGTGAAATAAGGTCTACTTCAATTTTCTTTAACTTGAGCAGAACATGAATAGATCCGTTCTCCATTTCTTTTTGTAATGCCTTTATGAGTCAGATGACATCATAGTTCACACTGTGGTAGTAAGGTAATGTGCTGTATCGTTGGCAGTTTCCTAAGAGTATGTCAATAGATACCTCTACAGTGCGGCATTAAAGTACTGGCGAGTGGCTTTCACTTCCGTGACCACACTTCAGGACCTATTTGCCGGGGCGGGGGTCAGGTGGATTGTGGGAGCAGAACTCGCCTCCCAACAATATGGCCGGGTTCGTATCCCGGAAGCGCTGCTGTCTCTGGGTTCAATTTGTTATTTTTTTCTCGGTTTTGCTCCGCTTCTCCCCTCTACGCGGGAACGACCAATCTCCAAATTCCAATTCTACCTGCAACGTAAGTACATTTTTCAAACGGATCTTCAGAGTTTCTAAGTGTTTTGTGGGTGTACAAACAATTTTTACATTTCGTTTTGCTCAAAGTATTGCCAAGTGCTTTGCAACATTGTGTAACGAAAGATATTATTCGTTGTGGCTTGTGTCACCTAGGTAATAAATATCTCCGTATTTTTGTTAAAAACAGGTTAAAGCAGTTGTGCAAGATGGCCTAGCTGTTGCAGATGGCCTGGCCGTTGACTGGGTGGCAAAAAATCTGTATTTTGTGGATAGCTCCGCGAAAAGAATCTTTGTCTGCCAATCCGATGGTAGTTATGTTTTGTCGCTGATTACAAAGGACCTGTTATACCCCAGGGGGATTGCCGTAGATCCAAGGGATGGGTAAGCTACGAACTTGCAATCTTGCAGTATTAGCTTGATATTAAAGATACTTTTATTTGAGGCTTTGTACTTTAAAGCCCCCAACTATTGATGATTTGAGAGTGTTTTTTTCAAGTAATATACTAGTAACAAACATGTGACACAGTGTTTCAGCACAAGATCGAACACTGAGAAGAGAGTTGAAAATATGACGTGCTGCAGAGCATTTTTGACGAACTTTAAGGTGTTTGATTTCGAGATAAAACACTGCTTTACTTCTCAAATCATTGTTAGTAGAGGAGACTGGTTCTATGAACTATGCTCTATCAACTATTAGTATATACACACTCAGTGATCTTGGTGATTTAAGCAATCTGATTGGTTCGCTATCTCGGACTATTCAACAATATTCACCTCCTAGCGAGTGGATAATGTGTGAGCTCGGTGTTTTTCCCATTTTTTTTAGAGAACGATCTTTTAAAAGTCGACTAAATCCTAAGGCTGACTTTTTTTAAGGCAAGAGAAGACTTGGAAGGATTCAATACGGCGTTTTTCAATTTACTGTAGCTGAGTTTTGTGCTCGATGGATTGTTTACAACTCCCGTGTATTCGCGTAGAAGAAGCCGTTTCGTGAACTCAGCGTTTCTAACAAGAAAATTTTGGCTCAAAAATCGTACTTTATTTATGACAAACAAATTTAAAAGAAAATGTTTGCAGAAATTCTACGTTTCAAGTAAACAGGAAAAAGAATGATACAGGAAGACGACGTCTTACCTCGAGCAACCGAGCCGCCATTTTTGTCAGCACTTCATGCGAAGAACGACACAATAAGCCCTTTTGGCTATAAACTTAGCGAGTCAACAGAAAACAACAAAGCTCCACTTTTCTTCTCAGGTAAGGAAACAGTTCAAACTTTTGTCGGTTCCATTTAAGCCATTACGCTGTTGTTTGCGAAATGATAAACTTGTGAATTGCCATGTTTGAAAATTCTACAAAGACCTATTTTTAAACTCACGCGTGATTTGATCTGTCAATCAAATTGTACTTTTTAATGGTTTCCTCTCTGATTTTGTTGAGATCACTTTGTGTGTATATACTAAAACAATTATTCTTTTCAATCTCGGTCGATTTCAAAGAATATTTGTTAATTGTATGCTCAAACAAAATAATTTTGGAAAGAGAAATTAAGTATTCAAGAATGAGGAGTTTTTTTATCTGTTTTCCAAAATCTCTTTAATTGTATTATTGATGAGGTTAAGAAATTTGAGGAGAAATGTGCCAAACCAATACGAGGCGCGCGTGTAGGGGCATTGTTTTGTTTATCAACCATGCTATTTGTTGCGACATTCTCTCTTCTGTCGGTGTTGAGGTTACTTATACTTCTTGTTGTCAACAACAACATGTCTCCTCCAAACCTTACTAACAGAGACAATCACATTTGCTAGGTAACTGACACTCTTTGATTCCGATCATTTTCTATACATTTTTACTCTGCAGATACCTGTTCTGGACAGATTGGGGAACGCATAAGATAGAGAGAGCAGGAATGGATGGATCAAACCGTAAAACCATCCTGAACATTCATGTATACTGGCCTAATGCCCTTACTTTAGATTATCCAACTCGTCAAATATATTGGGCCGATGCTAATTTTGACTACATTGCAAGCATGTCTTATGATGGCGAAGAAAGAAGGCGCGTACTTGGTCACCCAGCTGTTGTTCACCCATTTGCCATTACTGTCTTTAGAAATCATGTATACTTCTCTGATTGGACACGGCATGCAGTTGTCAAAGTGGATAAGTTCTCTGGTAACGAGAGTGGTGTTCTTCTGCGGGATCTCAGTCAGCCAATGGATATTCAAGTTTACCACAGTGCCAGACAACCATTTGCTTCCAATCCCTGTAACAACACTAGTAAATGCGGGTGTTCCCATTTGTGTCTTATTACTCCTATTCCAACAAGAGGCTGTACGTGTAGGTGTATGATAGGTTACAAATTAGCTGAGGATAGGAAGTCGTGTATTAAACTGGACACTTTCCTTATCTATGCACGAGGAACTGAAATCGTTGGTATACCAAAAGATGTTAATTCATCGGATGATGCCATTTTGCCTCTGTTTGGGCTTGGAAACGCTCGTGGACTTGACTATGATGCAAAAACCAATATGATTTACTTTTCTGACATTACCCGAGATAACATAAGTAGGTTTAGTCTTTCTGACAGGAAGATGAAAGTTCTGGTAAAGTCAGTCAAAAATGCCGATGGTATAGCGGTGGATTGGCTTGGTCGAAACTTGTATTGGACAGATTCTGATAGACGGGAAGTTGCAGTAGCTATGCTGAACGGATCATTCAAGAAGGTTTTGTTTAGTAAAGATGTGGCGAGACCAAGAGCTATTGTCTTACACCCTCTGAAAGGGTAAGCAAAAAATATTGGCGTGATAAATGTCTTTAATTCATTTACTTCATGTGTTGGTTGAACTGACCGAAAACAACACCAACCAAATGAATCTCTATATATCATGACTGTGATCTTCGTCAGTAGAGCTCACACGGATGGAAATTACTTTAATTGGCTGAGTAACCTAGCTGCAGTTGGCTTAGCAACCTAGCTCCGTTTGTCAGGGCTCTTACAGCGAAATTCGTTGTATCCCGCTGCGCGTATTGTAAACGTCGGAGGGAATTTTGGGTTTTGGGCCAATCTGTTCCATCAATCATTAGAGTGAAGGCGGGGTTAATGCAAATCACAATGTAACGTGCTCGCCCTGCTTGGCTGAGAACGACTCTAGACTGCGAAGGAAAGGAAGGAAATCGCGATGGTGAGTGGATTTTTTGTCGAAGGAAGGAGGCAGACATTGCGTTATTCTTTGAAGTGACAAGAATGAGAAAGATCAGAAAAATCTGCGAAACAAACGTAACTAGTCGATTATTGCCCGAAATAGGACGATCACAAAACAGCGAACCTTGAAACACGAAACAAAGAAAACGGATCGAAATCCACCAATCACGAATCACAAACCTAAGAGGTCCGCTAAGATGATTGACGGAACAGAAAAACCCAAAATTCCTTCGAAGTTTGCAAAACGCACAGCGTGATACAAGAAATTGTTACCGGTGGACAAAATGTCCCGGTGAATTTCCTGTGAATTACTCAAGTTGGCTGTTTTAGCTCTTTGTTACCCCTTTGTCTCACATCACGTTCTATGTGCACATGCGCCTCGCGTACGAGGGGCACAATGACCAAGAAAATCGAAGTTTGAATGCCAACGGAATTAGAAAATGAGGTGTAGCACTTTAGTGAAGTTTAGCCTTTATTTCGTAGTTGTGGTTCATCTTTGGCCCATGAGCGAATAACTAGTATAATGTTTTTTATATTTTCGCCATCTGTTAGGATGTCACATAGATAATTAGATGAACCCAACCTTGATGAATCTTTCAAAAATCTTTTTATATTCCTTTCACTAACTCTTCACACTTCTCCTCTCTATAATTGAACATTGGAAGGACTGCTGCTCCAGTCAGTGAAGCATTTTTATGATCATATGTTTTGATTCTTTACTAGTAAGATGTATTGGAGTGACTGGAATTCTCCTGCCAAGATAGAAGTAGCCAACATGGATGGTACAGATCGGCATATCTTTGTCCAGGGAGGTGGTCTTACATGGCCAAACGGTCTTTGTATCGATTATAACGTTGGCAAACTGTACTGGGCTGACGCAAGAACTGACTTAATCGAATGGGTATATTTGAATGGGTTCAACCGCAGTGTTTTACTGGGACGTCTCAATCACCCTTTTGGTCTTGATGTACATAATGGCTTTATTTACTGGACTGATTGGACCAGCAAAGATATAAAACGGGCAAGCATCAGTGATCCGACCTCTGTTGTGGTGATGAGGTCACAACTTGAAGGACTTATGGAAATCAGGGTTTATGATCCAGAAAGACAAAACGGTAGGTTACGTGTGATGGAAGGAGACACATGTACATTCCGCCACTTAAAAGCTCTGCGCAAAGTTGGTGTAAATCGTTCTGGAACAGCTTTTTATCAAATCTCCACATTTATAGCTAGGCTTATTATAGGTGATCTGTTGAAGGATACGTAGACGTCAATGTATTATACAATCACACTGTTAGTAGTAAATGCAGTGAAGATCATCGCAGGTAAAGAAATAACTCTTGCAATTGCGAAAACAAACACTGAAAAAAGTTAGGCTTGCCGATTTTTTCGTTTTTTTTTTCACAGCTGTTGTATACGTTATTTCTTGTTGGTTCTCTTCCTTGCTCCGAGAGGTTTTTCTCCGGGTATTCCGGTTTTCCCCTTTCCTGAAAACAACATTTCCAATCTCCAATTCGACCTGGAATCAGGTAGACGAAGAACCACTACATAAATGTGCTACCTCTTAATCGTTATTTATTTATTTCCTTAATTGAGATGATCTTCTTTGCATTTGTTTTTATCATTACACTTACACTGTAAGTGTTGTTTTGTCCTAAATTATCGGTAAGGCTAGAACCAATAATCGGTACACCAGCCGACGCAAGCGAGTTGGTCACTGATATTTGTATCACATTTTTCTGACTTCTGCTAAAACTTTTTTTGAGGCTCTCACTTACTGAATGCGGAATAATCCAGTAAAATGTGTAAAACATATATCCGCCATGGTGGACAGAACTAAGAAACTTAATTTTCTCTGACCCAAGCCGCGCTTCACTTATCTGCTAGATTTTATAGCAACCACCAATCCAAGTAGATTTTACTAATGTGTCTATTTGGTCTCTGTGTGGAGAAAGACTTCAAGGGCTGGTGAAATAGTCAAGTGATTGTCATGAAAGATATTAGATGATTATTGATTGTCATGAAAGATATTAGATGATTATTTTACTCAAAGAGTCGCTTGCGTAAATTAAATTCACCTAAAACAGCTGAAACAACAGCTCCGTTAATATAAAACCGGGTGAGTTGTGCTAAGGAAGAACCAATCGAACCGTAAGAGAGAAAGTGCTCCAAGACAGGTATGTGATGTTGAAAACACGAAAGAAGTATTAACCTCTTTTGTATTGTTTACCCAGGCGATAGCCCATGTGACAGTAGCTGCAGTCACCTGTGTCTGTTGCGACCGGCTGGTTTTAGTTGTGGTTGTCCAGATGGTATGGATTTTAAACGAGGAAGTAACAGTACATGCATTGGTAGGTTAATCTTTTTGGCTTACCAGTGAGTGACTGTTCGAGACTTTACCAAAATAATCCTGAATTGGCCAAGCCGCACACGCTGCTCTCATTTGTAATTTTCTGTGACATGCGAGGTGACCTCTTCTATAAGCCGGGTTGATTTTTTAGGTCTCCCACCAAAAATACAGCTGTGAACGTGTTATAAACATTTCAGTAAGGCAAATTGATGATGCTGTTGCTGATGATGTTGATAGTGAACTTACGCAAAGGAACGGTAGAGGGAAGAAGACGAAAAACCTTGTGTGACAAGCGTGACAATAGTTTTGTTTGAAAACAATTCTCGCCAAACTTCAACTTCCTTTTAAAAGATCTTTTTGTAAATATCAAAACACAGTTATATTTATTGAACTTCGCAACAAACACGCAGGTAATAGTCCTGTCACTTTTGTCACACCCACAAGCGTTTTGCCGTCCTCTTCTTTGTGCCATCCTGTTTCGTAAGCTCACTAATAGGGACTTTAAGATCCAACGACGCGGACGGTAACGAGAGCGTCAAAAAGAAAACAAAAAACAATAGGTTTTATTAGCAAAACAACAACTTTGCACGTGCACCCCGCTTTTTTGTACATTTTTGTACATTACATTTTTTTTGTGCGACTACGACGTGAACATGCCTAATTTCGCGTTTTATGGAGGACGTAAACAAGCAACGGCGAAATTTTATTTCTCTTTCTGTACTTGGATATGGTGCCTAGGGATTCAACTTCAGGAGGGTTCGCCTACATTTGACAAAGTAAGTGGGTCGGAATAATTGCGACAAAGACTGAAATAGCGTAAATTCACTTTTAAGCGACGTTCTCATTGCCGTCGCGTCGTTAGATCTTAAAGTCCCTAATGATGACGACGACGACAATGATGATGATGATTTCAAGGTGTCCGTTTCACCGAGTCGTTACTGTGACGTGTCCCTTTTGTGACTGGAGAGAGTTGAATGAACTGCTTGAATTGCACCCTGTTAGGAAGATTTCCGTCGTATTACTCTTTGCAGTGTGGCAGACTATTGAATTTGAATATGTAAGAAGTTAATATCATAACTTGATTTTCCAGGAAATCCATTCGTCACCCCAACTCCAAGGTGCCCGTCAAACCAATTTGCTTGTAGTAATGGGGACTGTATTCCTAAGAACTGGAAATGTGATAAAGAATTCGACTGTACGGATCACTCAGATGAGACTATGTTTGCAGGTTGTGGTAAGTGGTATTTATATGTGACATTGAAAGAAAACACAATTTTCAATCTACAAATTTGTAACGTAGATAGAAAACGTGGAAAAGGCAAGACTAGTACCAGACAAAGGCCATTTAGACAAGTAGAGAAGGTGAAACTTGTAAGTTATACCGTTGAAAGGTAACGACATCCTTTGCGTAGTTGGAAAACGTTCATAGGACAACAGCTCTTATACCTTTAGGTGCCATTCCTTGCTAAATTTCTAACAGCTTCATTTGTGGACAAAATTCTTTGCATTACCGCTCTTCGTGCTTTAGTATTGTTTTTAATTTAAGTGACCGTGCTTTGTTTGTTTTGAAACTACCAGTGTTAAGGATTTAAAAACGCGACATGGTGGTGAAATTTGGTGATCCAACGTTCACATTCTACCATTGTATTCGTTAAAAGTAGCAAGCCGAGAAGGATGGGAAAGACAAGTACGTTCCCCACGACCGTGCTAAAAAGTTGAGAAAACTATTTTGCACTCCCACAAGCTCAATATCATGACATGACAGGAATCTTCTCTCGACAGTATTTTTTGGATTTCACAGTGCAAGGGACACGAGCTCGAGATTTTCGAAACTACGAGAATATGAGGGGGACCAGTATAGAAGTCCTTATTATATAGTGTCTTAGTTACGGGACAACAGTGCGGACAAACGATTTTCGTTATAGTGCTAAGGTACTTTGAGTTTCTCTTGAAACCTTCGATCGTGGACTATTCAAACTCCATGTTTTTCTTGTCTAGCTGGTGTATCGTGTGATCCTAAACACTTTCAGTGTGTGCGTAGTGGCAAGTGTATTCCAGAAGGCTGGTATTGCGATGGTGATAACGACTGTGGAGATCGTTCAGATGAGTCCAACTGCACCTCTGCATCGTGTACTGATTCTCAGTTTCAGTGCAGTGATGGTAAATGTATCCCAAGCGGCTGGCGATGTGATGGTTTTAGTGACTGCGCAAATGGCATTGACGAGCTTCATTGTGGTACGTTTTTTTTGAAAGAGTAGCTTGTTCTTTCAGATAATTCTCTTTGACAAGAAATTCCTAGCGGGCTCAACAGGCTCTCAAAACATTACGCGGAAGGTCTCTATATTTAACCAGAAATTTTATTGTCTTTGTGAACCCTGACCAACTTTTATTACTTAAAACTGTCAAATTTCGAATTCATGTGTAGTTATCACTGACCCGGTGTCTCGCACTCGGTTGTATCTCTCGCCTGGGCTTGGCTAAATATTGCGTGTCATACAGGCTGCTTTACTACACTAAGGCACACTGTTAAGAGTTTATAACTCCAAAATTAGCAGAGATACTGTTTGTATCCCATAATTTTGGCATGTAAAAAGGCAGGTGATCCAGGGCTCCAACGGACCTATTAGCATCCTATGAATAGTTTGTTTTGGATCGCAAGCGATCTTGCCTTAAAACTTTTAATAGGGCGCGTTTGTTTGACCGTGTGTCAGTGTCAGGTATATTATTTTCAGATATACTTCAGATATCACGTAAAATTTGTTTGCAGCTGCAGCAGTGACGTCTCAGGCCTTTAAAAATTCCGACAGCCGCAAAAAGAGTTGTAAACGTGTTCTGTTATTGCCTTGCTGGTATAGGACCGGTCAGACGAACTATTAATAGGGTTTATATACCTTTTTCATCACAGGTAATCAAACCTGTCCCGATCAGGACTTCACGTGCACGTCTGGTCGATGTGTACCGCTTGGTTGGCGCTGTGATGGTGATAATGACTGTGGTGATGGCTCTGATGAACATGGCTGCCCAGTGAAGCAATGCTCTGAAGACGAGTTCAGGTGTAATAATGGCCAGTGTATAAGTGGCAGTTGGCGGTGTGATGGAGCAGGTGATTGTGACGATGACTCCGATGAAGATGGCTGCGGTAAGTAAGTTTAGAATGGTTGACGCGGCTTAACCCTGTTTTTTTTTGTCGCTGGAGATCAGGTCTAATTTCAGCTGCCTTCATACATCCTCTTCCAGGTGGTCGGGCTAAATTTTCATTTTACCAAGGGAAACGAAAATTTTACAGCCTGATCATAGGTTAATAAATCCCCAGGCGATACTCGTAATGGTTTTCAAATTCTTATTAACTGCAGACAAAAGTGTAATGGGAAGATGAATCATGTTACTAAAAAAACGTTTGCCTGTAAGTGTCTTTCATTTTGGCCAGTCGAGGTTCTGGAGGTTTGATGAAAGTAGACGGGATCCCGAATTGAGCAACTAAAGAAAGTGAGATGCGTCTCGGAGACCCAGTCGCGGGGAATTCACGCGGAAAATAATCGCAGTCAGGTTACCGAGCTACAACCAGTTGCAAAAACGTTGAGACACTCCCACGAAAAAACGACCTTTCTTGCTTCAAATTGCTGCTAGTCACAGGTTTGTGAGATATAATACTGACCTCTCTCCTCCCTCCCATTCAAAGTTGTTCCTCTAAGTTTTGAGCATGGTCTTGTATTGCTAGCAACTTTGATAAGGGGTGGAGGGGGGATCACAAGCACAATATCTGCATGGACAGGCAATTTATACCAAAATATGGTACAGTTTCTCAAGTACTTTTGCAACTGGTTGTAGCTCCACAAGCATTTGAATAGTACCCAACGGCTATCCCTTTCCCCTTGAAAATTTTGTAACAGTTAGGTGCTCAAAAAATGAAAATCTATCGTTAACGTCCTAGACGTCCCGTTTCCCGTAGAAAGTCCTTGAGGGAGAAATAGCTGAAAACATGAGTTCAAATGGGTTAAAATGCAGGAAAACCAACAAATGCTGCTGTATGGAATTTTTTTCGTATGGGATCTTCCAACATTTGTGTTGTATTGCGAAACAAACCTCTTAATTACTCTATATACAAGTCATTGAATTCTCTTCCCCTTGAGATCAGTAATTTAAAGTCTAATGAACTATTTTTCTCAGCTACCACCTTACCAAGTGGTTGCGGACCGGACAAATTCCTCTGCAACAACTCCAGGTGTATCCCAAGTCGGTTTGTTTGTGATCTTGACAATGATTGTGGGGATAATTCAGATGAACACAGTAACTGCACACAGGCCACGTGTCCACCAGACCAGTTTACTTGTCATAACAAAGGCGGGTGTATTTTGGCCGACTGGAAATGCGATGGGGATAATGACTGTGGTGATAAGTCAGATGAACTGAACTGCTGTAAGTTGAACTTGTGTTATTTTCCCATTTCCCTCTACTTCAAACGATGATGTAGTAAAACCAGTTTCATAAGCCTTAAAAGAACGTTCGCTTAGTAAATGTGGGAAAACGACTTTTAAAAGTACCGCAGGAAACGTTTTGTGGATTTAACAAAATCATTTTTGTTATGTCTCTTCTCCTGAACGTTTTTTCAGTTTTTTTACCTGAAGTGCCAAGAGAGGACAAACTAACACAAAGAGCATCAAAATGGCGGCAAATTTGAGCATTTTAACCTTTCGCCAAAGTTCTCGTAGTAATGTGTACTTTTAATAAAAAATGGGTTTAGGTTATTGGCACTTTAAGAGTGCTCAGGAGTCACGAAACATTCATAAAAGCCCTAGAACGTGAAGAACCGTCTCCAATTATTAGATCAAGAGAATCTATTGACCGATAGAAATCGAGAGTGAGCCCTCTTACTGTTGTAGTGTAAATTTTACTGGTGTAAGAGCTCTTCCTAGTCTCCTACGCAACACCCCACCTCGCAAACGGCGTTTGTTAGAGGAGCGTTGCATGATGACATAAAGAACAACTGCGTACTTAGCACTTCCTGGCGATTTCTCTTAAGTATTCACTGACACACGCAAATATCAATCTTAAATCGCCATTTCGAGGTGATAGATAGAAAAAATGTTGCCCAATCAGAATAAATATAAAACGGGATTTTTAGCAAATTGTTGTTGAATTTTGCCTAACGAAATTATAACTCACCTTATTTTTTGACTCTATAGCGGTAATTGCCCCAACCTGTAGTCCCCGTGAGAGACAGTGCCATAATTCGTCTGTATGTATAGAAGACAGTAGATTCTGTGATGGCAAGAAGGATTGTCCTGATGGAAGTGACGAGGGAATAGGATGCGCATTTATGGCATGCAATGCTGATAACGGAGGATGCTCCCAGCTTTGCAAGGCATTGCCGGAAGGTAAGCAGACATATGCCCGGCTAGGAGGGGGGGGGGATGGGGGAACTCAACGAAGTTTAATACGGGGAGACTCCGTCCCAAGGTCTGACCCCTTATCCTTTTATATACCATTTTTGACAGAAAGGTACCTCTTTCGTATACCTTCTATTGACAAATGATACCCTTTTCACCTCACCTTGATAAAGACCCTTTGTCACTTATCGTGAGACGTTGCGCATTGCTTATTTTGATTTCAATGGACAAGCTGCGATTTCTTGGGAGGAAAAATTATGGAATCTCATCTCGAGGAGGAAATGAACGCCGCGTTTGGAATACTCGTTTTTCTTAGAGCCAAAAAGCGGCCCTGTCGGATTAAAAGATTTTAAAATCTAGCAACTTTCTCTGAGGACGGAAAGGAACATTTCGCGTAGCAGTCAGAGTTGTCACAGAGGACATTTTCTCCGACGCCTTCGAAGAAAAACAAACAAACAAACAAACAAACGAAAACAACTTGACACGGAGAAGCAAGGAAGTATTTTGTATGAAACCAGCGACCCTGGATACTGCCAGGGATTTGCTGTTGGTTAAAGTATTTGCTGTTGGTTAAAGTAATATTTGTATCGCGCATAATTTTGAATGATTTTGATTTCGCTTCGTTGGTAGACGCCTGCTGACTATTATTTTTTGTGCCATAGCCAGAAATTACAAATCAACATCTAGAGACGTAGAAAACCGAATATAACGCTCACCGAAAGTTTCATTGCCATTCAGCGAAAAACAAAGATTTAGCGAGAGGAGAAGCGTACAGAAGCTTTCTATACTTTGTACTTTGTCCGTTATTTTAATAGCGTGAAAAAAAATACCAGTACGAGTCAATCGGTCACGTTAATCACTCAGTGAAATCTCAACTCACATTCAACAAGCGACAGCAAAGTGATTCGAAAGTAACTCAATAAACACTGGTAAATTTTAAAGCGGTTTAATAAACGTGTTTTATTTAGACAAAAGAACGAATTTTTAAGCCATACCTATATTATCTGCAAAACTGCTAAATCAACCTCGATCGTGAAAATGTAAACAACCACGGCTTTCCGCGCACCGTGGAAGAGGGACGCTGAAGAATTACACAGAATGTTTCAGCCATACCTTTACAAACTTCCTCTCGCTTTACAGGCTTTTAGGCCATCCTCCGCGTCGATAGCCAAAAGTTATAGTGGCGAATTTAAATGGAATATATTGCGTAAAAAACTGACTCACCTAACATAGTATACGTTAAGCATACTGGTTTTAGATAAAGGCGGCCAAACCCGAAGGAAAAGTTAGGGACTTTACAAAACTACGACAGCGACGGCAACGGGAACCACAAAAAAAGCAATACGTTTAATGAGCAAAACAACAACTTTGCAGGCGCATCACAATTTTTGTCAATTTCTTTGCCGTCCCTGCACAGCTACGACGTGAAATGGCCAAATTTTAAGTTTACCTAAGAACGGTAGCGGCACGGTGATAAATTCTGCCATCTCTGTCTGAACTCGGGCGCTGGGGCCCGTTTCTCGAACGTCCCGGTAACTTTTCGGGTCCGAAATCAAATATTCAAATCGAAGTATAAAGAATAAGAGCGCAGGCCCAGACTAGCAAACTACTCCATTTTGTTTCATTAACTGATAGTTTTTTCATGTTAGATGCAAAACTGATGAAACCTCGATCTTTAATGTAAACGGAGACAGCTTACCGGGACCGTTGATTAGCGGGACTTTCGAGAAACGGGTCCCTGGTCCCCTCTCTTCACTTCCACCCTAAATTCCCTTTTTTAAGTAACAGGGCGACTTGGGATAATCGCGAAATAGTTTCAAAGAATGCAAAGTGTATTTGGCAGCGACGTTTTCATGGACGTCGCCGTTGTCGGATCGTAAGGTCCCTATTGTGCGATGGAGACGGTTTAATATTTGAGATACGTTTGAGATCCTGAGATGTATTTTCGTGGTCCACAAAAGTTCTAGTACGACCGCAGTGCTTTGTGGAAGGTGACAAAAGGTCTTTGAGGACACTGCATTCTTTATAATTGCTGTAAATGCACCGTCTTTTAAATATGAATAAATCACTAAACCGGGAAGGTTTGTTGTCTATTTTACATCCATAAAGTGCGTCTGTTAGCCCCTGTTGGTCTTTTTACAGACCGAAATGTCAGATCACCCTACCCTTTCATATTCTTCAATTAATAAAACTCCCTCTCTTTCATACACTTAAAGCCTGAAAAAGCACTTATTTCGGGCGGAACCTCCCCGAATTAGGCCATTACAGGGAGTCCCAATGTCACGAGCATGGGGTGTCAAAACTCATTCACAAGGTCGTTTTTATCATTCCGGTTTTTGTTGATGTGACAATAGTAATTGGAGAATTCTGTTTTGAAATAAATGAAGTAAATTAAATGTTTGCAGGATAGACTAGAAATGATAGTTATTCTGTTGCAAATGACAGAGCTGTGGATTACTTTTAGCATATGGCTGACTCCGCAATCGGCCAAGATGAATTGAATACATGTGTTCTGATTGGGTGTACGCTCTTGCAAAAAGAAGTTCTTTATGGCCATTATAATAAATCGTTTATTGACCAAGCTTGTTTGGTCAAGATGGCTGGATATTGGGCCGAAAAAAAAAAAACAAAAAACAAAGTAACAAACTTGGCCATTCTCCAGCCATCTTGACCCACCCTTGGTCAATAGTGCATATATATTGTCCCACATTATGTTTAGAACTGAAGTCACTCACTCAGAATATTAAGGCTTTCATCTTTTGATGTGATCCAATGCCGTGACGGGAACATGCTTTCACTTTACTTTTTACTGCCTTAACAAGTTTTCTTGGCAGTTCGAAACATGTCGATCTTCTTTTTTCCCCATCAGGAACTGTTTGTTCATGTTACAAAGGGTTCTCCTTGGCGAGTGACAACAAAACGTGTGATGACATTAACGAATGTGAGGAACCTGGTTCATGCAGCCAGCAATGCTTTAATTCGAAGGGCTCATATACTTGTAGATGTGTTGAGGGTTACAACTTGGAGTATGACGGGAAGCATTGCAAAGCTGCAGGTAAGAGAGAGCTGTTTATACGGACACCTCTTTAACAGGGTAACCTTAACATACTGCTAACCAGGATTTTTTTACTTAGTTAGCAATAACCCGCTTTGAGATGCTGGACATGACACATTTTGGTTTTCAAGACTTAACTGTACTTTTGCCGCATTAGGAATTGTTATTTTAGTCGAACTCAGAACGCGAGGCCAAGTAAACATCACCTTAACTGTACCACCAAATCAGCTTTGAAATACCGTACAAAGTGTTAACTCTGTTTGGCTTATCTTTTTATATTAATTTGTAACGTGATAAATCCGTATTTCTTGATCTTTAACCCTAATACATAACCTCTCATGGCCGTACCAGTTAATGTAAAGGATAATAAGTTCCTCCAAGAGAGAATGGTTCCTCACAAACAGGGTCAACTATCTTGAAGTGGGCGTAAATGGCCATCCGCAGTACCTGCATGAACTTTTGTGCAAATGAAGGTTTACACGGACGATTTTGATGCCGCTAATTGACTAAATCTCTTGATTTGAGGTCACTGTATTTTCTTTTCCTCGGTGCTGATGCTGATGTTCACTTTTTGCAGATTCTAATATTCCATTCCTGTTCTTTTCCACTAAAACGGAAATAAGGAAAGTTGATCTGCGTCATGGATTTAACTATTCTGTTGTGATAAGTGGGCTGCAGACTACAATTGGACTAGACTTTCATTGGGCAGAGCAACAACTTTACTATTCCGATGCCAGCACTGACAAGATAAGGCGTTGTTTTTTAGATGGCAGCAAATGCGAGGATGTCATAACAACAGGCTTGCTGATGACTGAAGGTAAGTTTTGAATTTTGCGTTATCTATACCCCATTCACGCCAACTAAACGCGTTTAATTAAACCAGGTTTTAGAAAATGAAAAACAGACACGGAAAAATGGAACACAGGATTTTACACTGGATTTAACCTGTTTAGCTTGCACTAAATTTGCAATTAATTTAAGTAGGCAAGCAGGTTTCGTGAAGGAAACAATTTTAAACTGTGTTTAACTAAACAGTTTTTAAACGTGTTTAAGCTTTGATTTGATTGGGGCATTATTTTTAGAGGAGGAGTTTGATTTGAGGAGTATGTTTCATATGCATCATACAGGTGTCGGGACTTGGCTCTTAAGGCACACTCTACCTTGGGTTCAGATAAAATGTGTATATTTGTGGGTGGTTGTTCTTGTTGTCCTTCGCAAAGAGGTTTGGCCTCGAGGAGGCACTATTGGAGCCCTGTAGTTTTGTATTCCTATACAGGGATGGGACAAAGAAAAAAATGATTCGATTTGCCCACAGTCGGGGCGCAAGTGGGTATTGGGAGTTGAAGATGATGGGTATCGTGGGGTGTGATAAATGCGGCTCGCTCCCCACGTGTACTATGTAATATTTTAGAAGAAAGAATATTTGCATGCACGGTCTTGGCTTTCAAATAACAATTTAAATCGAGTTCAGCACATGTGAAGTTCGGTGTTTGAGCCGGGTAAGTTTGGCGGATGGTATTTCGATCGGCTAAGGCGTCCTTCGCGCCTACTCCTTGTGTAAAGAACGCCACAGTTGATCCGAATATAGCCTGTACCTTGCTCTCAGATAGTAGCCGGGATGTCGCTAAAACATATCAAACCAAAATAAGGCCTGCGTGGTCTGGGAGGAGGGCGGGGGTGATGACGCCTCCTCTCTTCCCCAGCCGGGCGTGTTTTTCGCGTCAGTTTTCTCGATCTCTGCGCATTACTATCTTGAAGCCTGGACCTGAATAATCCGAACACGATCAGCCAAACTTAACAGGATCAAAGGCCGGACGTCACTTGAGCCAAGCTCAATTTACTGAGTTTAACTTATTTGAAGTATGGTTGTCAGCTTAAATTTCATTCATGGCGTTTGCCTTAGTTCTTCCCTGTGAGGCCCTTGTAGGCTTAAATATTTCTATAGTTTTTACATTATAGTGTATTGGAAGCCAGGCCTTTAAATTACTTCATAAAATGTTTTTAGTGCTATAACTACTACACATTGCATACGTTATGTGTCTTTGAAGTTATTTGCATATAATTGGCGCCTGCTCTGGACAATTTTTATCATATTTTTAATTTACGACATAAGACAGATTTAGAATCACGTGTCCCTTAAACGGCAAACGTGAATTTGTTCCACGTGACCAAGTTTTTCCTTTACTTGCCTTTGACTTTTCTTTACTTTTACAAAAAATTATTAGCTTCATTTTTTTTTTCATTCATAAGAATTGTTTTGGACTTTCTTCATCAACTTATTATCTGTTTTGAGAAATTGTTAACTTGAATCTGCCGTTTGGCGTTTGCCGTAACCGTGATTCTAATTCTCTTTATTATCTACACGAACGTGAAAGTTTGGCAATTTGGCTTGACATGAAGTACTCAAAAATTTATTTCTTAAAGGACTTGCCGTTGATTGGATTGGCGGTAATTTGTACTGGAATGATATGCAAACGGATCAAATTGAGGTGTCTGACCTTGATGGCAGATGGCGTATGGCTCTGATATCTGATAATCTTACCTCTCCTCGTGGGCTTGCTCTGGACCCAAGGGATGGGTAAGTTTTGTATTTCTTATGTTCCCCTTCATTCGTAACCTGCAGTGTTAGCAGTTTTGATTGTATTACGGCAATAATCCACAGTAAAACGGATGTACGTTGAAGGCTGAGAACCAAAGTCACAACGGTTAGTCATCTGAAATTGCGCTTTTGTAAGGAGCCGTAAGCTTGCGTCGCTGCCTTGGGTGCTCTTTTCTTGTTGTATTTACCTAAAGTTTCGGTGTATGTTTTTTTGTTTACCGTTTGGTTATGACGTAGCGTACGCCCGTGCACTCTTTGCGGGGGAGGGAAGGGAATTAGGTGTCACCCCGTCCGGGGGAGGAGTATGTTATAAATTGCGCGATGCATTTGTGCAACCCGCCTTTTTCTTGGCGGGAAATCGCGCAAGAAATGGCATGGCTGTCGTCGCGTTCATAAACATGGTTACTTCAACTACTTCATTGCATAAGGATTTTGTGACCGTAGTGCTCAGTTTCTAGGAAGAGAAAGGTGTAGAGTAAGAATTAACAGGCGCGCTAGCGAAGAGGATTCAAGTGGATAATTTATGCGACATCTGCAACTTGTTCACTGATACCTGAAGCTGACAAAGTTTTGAGTCATCTTGTGATGTTTTTACCTGTCTTTTTGCACTGGATCTACAAAATGAAATACAGCAGCTATCAACATTCTTTTGTTATTCTTGGCTGGTTTGTTTACTGGGTTGTGGTTGAGAAATGCGCCGCACAACAAAAATAAATCGGGAATCATCGTTTTCAAAAATAAGCTACTCTTAGTTACTTGGATTACAAGTGTATTGTTTGATTTAAATTATAAATTAATTACTAGATCGAGCTACGGTTTTAGCCCTGGCGAAATCTATATATTGTAAAGGTGCTTGAGAATATCTTCCATTTGATTGGTCACACAGGGGAATGTTTTGCACAGACTCAAACGATAGAGCACATGATGCGATTGGTGATTTAACTTTGGCAGTCAGTTGATGCATCCAACAAAGTTTTATCTTTTGTTACGGTGATATTACAAGGCTATGTTTACACTATGGGAGATTTTCCCTGATTCGTAACGAATTTAGCACATTTTAGTATAAGTTTAAATTGCTTATTTGCCCTTTGGTATATCAATGTGTCAAAAATCAAAATTTTTGCCATATTCAACATTTCATGTGGTCAAAAATAAATGGTTATGTGCGAAAGTACCATGGCAGAGGTTTAAATGGGATGTTTTCTCTGCAAGATTTTATTCACAGATTTATTTTGCTTAAGGATGTTACTCCTACCTAATGTTGGTGGCTAATTGGGAAGTACAGCTCTTATAGTTAAAAAAACGTTGGTTTTGTGGCAGATTACTCTTCTGGTCAGATTGGAGTTCACCACCTCGTATAGAGAGATCCCACATGGACGGCAGCTCAAGACAAGTTCTAGTTACTACTGACATTGCATGGCCAAATGGAATCACACTTGACTTGCCCAACAGGTATTTTATTAGTGCTTACCTTCTATCAATATCACACAAACATTTAATAATTTAGGTAAATGCTCTGTTAGTTTAAATTAAACCAGGGTGTAAAGAGAGCCATTCAGGCAAGCTGAGGATAGCATATATTAGCCCAAACGTCATTTCAACTTATTCTAGCCTCAAAAACGTTTTTATGAGCAGAGTTGATTTCACAGTTCTTCTGTAATTTGAATTCCTCAAAAAACTTCACTTGCCCATCGGGCAAGTTAAGAACAGAATTCACTAGCCCAATAGCAAAACCACTACCCTGGGATATCGGACACTACTTTCTTTACAATAGGAGAGAACCCTGGGAACGAGGTTGCTTTCTTTGCAAGCTGATTAAACTGAATGATATCTTATATAGTGACTTCGAGTGTATTGTCAATAATAATAACGATTTGAGTGCATTGACAATTCAAATTTGGTCCGTGGTTGGTTATGAATAAATTAGTCAGGGGATTTGAGCCTGTCAGTAACGGAGAAATATTTTAGATAGATAATAATAAACTTTGTTTAATTTGTTATATAACATCTGTATACGACTTTCTTTTGTAGACGGTTGTATTGGATCGATGCAAGACTGCATTACATCGCCTTCTGTGATTACAATGGCGCTAATCGCCACACAGTGCTAAGAGATAAAAATAAAATACTGCTTCCCTTTTCTATCACGCTGTTTGAGGACATGTTGTACTGGTCGGACAGGGCCAGGGGAGGGCTAAAAATTAAACAAGGAAACAAGTTTCACGGTGGGAATCACTCACTGATTCATTTTGACCTCTTTCGTCCAATGGACGTACATGTTGTCCATCCTCTCCAGCAGCCTAAAGGTAATTAGTAACAACATTTTACAATAAACCTTCCTTTAAAGGACACCTGTTCAAGATGGAACCCTCCCTAAGACGGGTATTAACATCTTAGAGTTGATCCCTGTCGTTCTTTAAGCCTGGTTTTCGCTAGGGCTTAAGCATAAGCATAAACATAAGGACATACGCACGCGCAGAATTGCCTATTTGACTCAATTCTCGATACCAGCTCTCCTCAACCCCGATAAGATGGCGGACGCTTCGTCTGCCATATTGCTTTTGATATGTTCGCATGAGGTCTGGGTCAAAGTGGCCTATAATTGGTCCACGGCCTTGTGATTATGCTTGTGCTTATGTCGACCCCGTTTTCACTAGTCAAAGCTACGACATAAGCATAAGCACAACCACAGGAAGAACGAACTTGTCCGTTTTTCTTGTGCTTATTCTTATGCTTATGTCGACCCAGTTTTCACTTGCTTACATATGTGCTTGTGCTTATGCTTATGCTTATGCTTATGCTTATGCTTATACGCTAGTGAAAACCAGGCTTTAGGCTTTTATTTATCTCTTTTTAAGGCGGACAACTCTGAAACGGACACTTGCTGCTAGTTCCAAACTTGTCTGTGTTGGAAAACATTTGTCTTACTAACATTGTACTGCAAACCTCAGTCGTATTTTGATTGGCACACGTATTTGTTATTAGCTCGTAGAAAGATGGCAGAATTGATATCGGTGTATGTCAGTGAATCAGTATTTGGTAAAAAATCACAGAAGATGCAGTAAGAGGACTATTACCAGTATTTGGTAAAAAATCACAGAAGATGCAGTAAGAGGACTATTACCTCCATTTCCCTTGGCATTGACCATTGAATCGGGGTTTTTGTCTACCGATAGATATCTCTTGTTCGCCTAAAATTCTGAAACTCATAAAATTCAAGAAAATAACCTCAGCTATTTATTGGCTTGGAAGTGGCTAGTTTAGAAAGATCTACGTAATGTCATAAAAAAAGTTTTTTTTGTGAATTATAGAGAGAAATAATTTTTTCCAAATCTGATTTTAACTGAAACGCAAACAAGAGAGCCAGTCAGGATATTCTGTGTAGTGCACTTAGGGGCAGAGCTGTAGTGTTGTATTTTGGTGATTTCAGGATTGAACTACTGTGAAAATAGCACCTGTTCTCACTTGTGTCTCCTCAAGCCACAAGGATTCAGCTGTCAGTGTCCTGTTGGTATGCAACTGATGAAAAACAATAGAACTTGCAAAGGTAACACTTTTAGAATTTTGCTGCAGTTGATCAGGACGAAAGATGGATAGAGCTAAAAGAAGCAACTCATGTTTAGGTCCAGGGGAATGCAGCATTGCCGCTGAGTGGTCATTGCGTCGAACTCGGAATCCGCAAGCCTTGGATTCGAGCACCCCCTGACCACTCAGCAGCTGGAATTGTTTCTCGACGGTCCGGATTTTAGCTCCTCGGCCATGTTACTGTTAGCAACCCCAGCGCCCAGCACTGGGGAATGTTTAGTTTGAATTGTTTGCTTTGTGATTCTTTGAGTCGAGATCCTGTAAAGTAGCTAAAGCTGCTAAGTACACTTCCCCTACGTTTAGATTTTACATTAGAATCAGTCCTTCGAAGATGTTCGATTTTTTTTTATAAGTTTACGTTCTTAACCGGGGTTAATGAGCCCTAAGGGAGTACTAGTTCTTTCCTCACTTGTCCCTTGTGTACTCTACTCTCCTCACCCTTGCAATCAAGGCTTGTGCAGTAATAGCTCATTGTTTAGCTCAAACTACTTTCACTTTCACAATGTTAAAGTGGTTGCCAAAGCTTCCAGTAATTTTCCACAACCAGTGTTCTCACCAGGATTTTGCCTTGGGGAGTCCCAGGGCCCCCTCTTCTGAGAAATAGGGGCCCTGTAAGAACATTAGGGGGACAAAGTTACAAAAAACACGCGGTACAAAGAACCTGAGCCCGCACTCCAAATTGTCTGTTACATGAAGTACCTACCTGATCCAATATGGCGGAAGAGGTGTTTACGATTCGGAGGAGGAGTTTACGATGTAGTGGGACGTGCGTGGGACCAATGAAAGTAAAGGCAACAAAATTAAAGACTTTGACTCATTTGATATCATGTTTTTTATTTATTCAAATAAACAGAATGCTTTAGTGTTAGGTTGACCATTAAAACTACTTAAGTCCGTTTGACTCGTAGCTTGCCCCTGCGCCCTAACGGGCGCATCTTCCTGGTTTTAATGCGCCATTTCAGTTTTTCTTGCGGGAATCCCGCAAGGCCGCGGCCTGGCGAGAACACTGCACAACATCACATGATTCTCACCTGTCTCGCCTTATGTAAACCGCTCATACCATTAATCATCCACATTTCAGCTTTGTTCTTCAAGCAAGCGCCAAGACTCGCACTCTTTAAGATTGTATTTTTCCCATCCTCCCACCCAACTGGAAGCTTTGTCTTCTTTTAATCGCTATGGCTGTGCTTTGTCCTGAAACTGGAATTGTCAATAATCCCTTTTTATGTAAAACGTAGATATCTGTACAAGATTGCTTCGGTTTCAGTGCATAGATATAAGTTTTAGTTGAAATTTAATTGGGAATCGTTTGTTACTGTTTGGTAGAAATTCGTGCGTTTCTTCTGTACGCTAAAAAGTCAGTGGTGAGTGCAGTATCGTTAGATCCAAGAAACACAGGTGATCAGATTATACCCGCGAGACAGCTTAAGACAGCAGTGGGCGTGGACTTTAGTTATGAGGACCAGTACGTCTACTGGAGCGAAATCACTGCGGATAAAATCTCCAGGCAGTTCCTGAATGGCTCCGGCTATGAAACTGTGGTTTCTGATGGTGAGTTTTTTACATTATTTAATTGGGCTAGGTTGGAGAATATTAGAAAGCTTTAGATTTGAGGATGAGAACGAGCACGAGTACGAGTATTAGATTTAACTTATAGTTTTTGCGCGTGTTCTCAATAAAAGACGCCCGGAAAGCTTCATTGTACTTTTTTTCACCAAAAAGGTTAGTACTGTTAATTATACTTAAGGAAGTTAAGCCCTCTCCCGATCACAAAATGATAAAACGGCTTACATTTGATAACTTGTTCCCGCCACTACGACGTTCTTGCTTAATCCCGTGGCAGAATGACGACAGCTATCACGTTTTCCCCTCTCACGCGCGCGCAATATTTAGTATTGAGAAAATCTCATAGTCGTCCTTGTCCTCGAATCTAAAGCTCCCTATAGTATTTACATGATCATCCTCATTCATTCATTCAATCAATCAATCAACCAATCAATCAATCAATCAATCAATCAATCAATCAATCACTCACTCAATCAATCAATCAATCAATCAATCAATCAATCAATCAATCAATCAGTCAATCAAACTATTCGTACAAACTCCGAAGCAGATCGAGATAGGCGTTTAGTCGGATTAAGACTACTAAGCCAACGAAACGTGATGTTTTTACATACGAACTGAGTAGATTATAATAATAATAATAATAATAATAGTAATAATGATGATAATTTTATAATAATTATAATAATAATTTAATGACTTATATTGCGCTTTTTTCATGTGCTGATCAATAGCGCATTACAAAATAAAAAATATGTATATTAAAAACATTATCATTAAAATAGGAAATAATTTTTTAAATGATGACCTGAGCAAAAACGTCTTAAGTTTGTTTTTAAAAACACTTAGTGGCGGGACATAACGCAGGTCAGCCGGCAGGCCGTTCCACAGAGCCGGTGCGACAAAAGTATAAGACCTGCCACCATGTGTAGGGCGCATTTTTTTCTGTGTAATGTCACTAACATAGATTGTTTTTTGGTAACTTTTGACAGGTTTGTCTAAGCCAGAGAGTATATCATATGACTGGACGGCAAAGAACATTTACTGGACAGACTCAAACAAAAAAGTCATTGCAGTGGCTCGTCACGATGGCAGCTATCAGAAGGTCTTGATTTCATCAAAAGTGGCAAAGCCACGAGCAATTATTGTGCATCCTTTGACTGGGTAAGCTACATGCACTGTGTCATTTACAGTCAAACCCTTTGGTAAGCTGACACCCTGTATTTAAGCAGACTTTACCGTGGGTACCGTTGTTGCCAGCTAATCAGGGTAAAAGTGTCATTTTAACTTGCCCAAATTTTTTTGATCAGCAGGTTTGATTACAGTTCTTCTGTGATATGAATTCCCCCCAAAAACTTCATTTGCCCGTCGGCAAGTTAAGAGCGAAACTCATTAGACCGATAGCAAATTTCACCATCCCTAGGCAATCGGGCACGACTTTCTTTGCACGCTGCTAATACAGGTTTAGTCCAAAAGACCTTCCGACATTGTTCATAAGCACGACATACCATAAAATTCCGAAAATAAGCCCCGAGGCCTATATTTTTCAAAGGTCCTTTTTGAGGGGCTTATTTTTGGAGGGGCTTATATTCGGAGGGGCTCATCTACGGAGGGAAATTTGCGTTTTAAAATCGATTGGGCTAGCCTTATAGTTGGAAGGAAAATTACCTTTTTTGCTTTGTTTTACTTTGTATGTGAGGGCAATTTCCAAGTACAAGCGCCCCCCCGAGTGCACCCTTATAGTCGGAGGGGCTTATACATGGAAGGGCTTATTTTACGGGCTTATTTTACGGTATGCGTTATTGACCAAGCGTGTTGTCCGAACGGCTGGATATTGGCCGAGCTCTTTCTTGCGTTTTTGTGTGGATCAAGACGAAGCTGGGGCTAATAGAAACGCAAAAAAAGGTCGAGGCCAATATCCATCCATCTTGACACATTTGTTCAGTAACGAGGACGTGGAAGCAATCGTGACAAACCAACACAGGAGTTGTAGGGAGCGACTCGAAAGTAGTCGTCGCCTATTGAGAGGAAGCATAAGACTCGAGTTGGGATTGCCGAAAAGCTTCAACAAAGGGGCTGTGTAAAGTAACCTGTGCTCTGGTTATCTTGACCGGAGAAGCGTGGTCAATAAATGATTTATTTTATGGCCAAAAAAAGAACTGTTTCTTGCGGTGACCGTAGCAGGAAATCCCGCGCGGAAAGATGGGCCTATCTCAATTACCCGCTTGGGTAGCCAATCAGAAAACAGAATTCGCTTCATCTTGCTCGCTCGCGGATTCATCCATACATTAAGTCATTTATGCTGACGATAAAGTGCTTGATATTTCTAATATATGTGAATTGCATCGTGACCATTTTCAGACTGCTGTTTTGGAGCGACTGGGAAGACGGGGATCCAAGAATTGAACAAGCTTTGATGGATGGGTCAAACAGAACTCGAATCAAGACATCAGGCCTTAAGTACCCTAATGGGCTTGCTATAGATTTTAGTGCTCAACGTCTGTATTGGTGTGATGGCGGGACCGATGAAATCGGATCGATGTCCTTCAAAGGAGATGCGCAACAGATTCATTTTCGGTCGCCTCATCCTTTTGCTGTGAGTGTATTTAAAGATGCGCTGTACTGGTCAGACTGGACTAAAAAAGCTATCTTTAAAGCTCCTTTAAATGGCAAGAAACTGGTGCTGAAACAGGACAAGGAAGTTCACTATGGTGTGAGAGTATATGCTGAGGAAAATCAACTAGGTAACAGTTAGAAGTTTGGTCGTTAAAATTCCATTGAAACTCCAATGAAGGGGTGGTAGAGGAGGGATAAACGTTAAAAAGGGTTGTCAAAGACTGCAAGTATCTTTTTCTTTTACCAGCTGGTGTTTCTTTTTTTGGATAGCTTCGAAAACCATTACTTTTTTAGCTTGAGGTTCCATGTTTGTGTTGTTCTGTTTTAATTCATGAAAGTGAAAACTGGCAGTGTTTTTTCACGCCTTCTGTCACACCACTTTTCACCATGCGTCGATCACTTGCTGTTCTATCCCGGGCTTGGTTCATTTGAATTTAGTCAAAGCTACGTTATCAAGATTCAACCAATTGCAACGGATAGTAAGTAAGGATCGCATTTTCAGCCTTTGATCTCTATAAAAGGAAATATGAGAACAATATTTTGCCGCCATGCAGCACGATGTAGATTGATTCTAGTGGAATTCACTCGCTCAAAGTCATTCCCTCTTAATCGTTATTTTGGGCTCTTCTCTGTCACGATTAAATGTTTATCGTTGTGTTTTTACAGGGATTAGTGGTTGTAGCGTAGAAAATGGCAACTGCAGCCAGCTGTGTTTTCCAATGGGATCAATGCATGTGAAGTGTTCATGTGCAATGGGATATGAATTGGCAGCAGATGGAAAGACCTGCAATGGTGCGGAAACGTTTTTAATATACTCGACAGCTTCAGGTTTGTTCTCTAGAATCGATTTCAATCGTCTCGTAAAATAGCTGACTAACAGAGCGCGAGGTAGTTTATTTAAGGACCTCACACCGTGACTCCGGAACAATATAGAGGTCAAGCATCACGTTTACGACAAACGGCAAAGGCAAATTTGTACCACGTGACCAAGTTTCCCCATTTACTTGTCGTTTACTGTTCATTACTTCTACGCATAAATTAGTAGTTTCACGCAATTTTTTATCCGTAAGAATTGTTTTGAACTTTTTAATCTGCTCATTTTCTATTTTGAGAAATTCTGAACTTGAATCTGACGTTTGTAGTTTGCCGTATACGTGAAGCTTAAACTCTATTACCAAGTACAGCCCTTGCGCTCGGTTAGTAAGGGGTTATTATTCGATGGCTGATCCCGATAGAAGCACATTAAAAAAACATTAAAGAGAAGCGTGCGAGGCGCCTCAGTCAAAACGTTGTTGGGCATATACTTTGTAAAATGGGGTTCATAATGGGTTCTTTTTAGGCATATTCGGTGATTCTTAGTTATATTTACTTTCTTTCAAGAATAGGAATAAACCAAACCAACTGTGAATCCCTTCATACAGTGTAAGGCTAAAT